TTTCGCGCCGAAAGTGGCCATTTGATCCCTTTCGGTCTAGTTTCGGTTTCGGCCGAAACCAAAAAGTTAACTTTCGGTTTAATTTCAGTTTCGGACGAATGTGATTGGGACTTTCGGCCATTTAGCCGAGAGTGACTGGGCTTTTCGATCATCTACCAGAGGCCAGACTGTCTGTCTCTAGGCTGACAATCCGATATTCATTGTTGCTGGACGTCTAGCTGTCATCGTATGTTATATGACTAATACTCTGCGAATAATGCTCACAGCTGCATGATGACCTACTTGTCCTTTCCCCCCCCCCCCCAAAAAAAAAAAAAAATAATTAATTAGGCCTAGGCAAATTTTAACAGTTTTGTGGAAGAAAAACTAGTGGAATAGTTAAATTTTATATCATTACTTTTGTTTTAGTTTTTTTTTTTTCAAAAATAAAATTTGGAACCCTAGATTTATTCTATTCCTTCGTTTGTAACATTCATTTTGATTTATCATTATCATGCTCATCAATTTTGTCATAGGCAAAGGTGAATAATATTGCATAATCATGGGGAATGGTAATATTTCTCCTATTATTTGTGTTTATTTGTATTTTTTAATTAAGGAAACCTAGGCTTTATCAATTCATTCATTTCTTGAAATTCATCATTATCATGCCCATAAACATTGTTATTGACGAAATAACAAGTGTGTGCACTTATCACTGGCTTGTATTATAATTATGTAGTAGGCCTACTGCAGACATGTCTACTTTTATGATTTAGATGTCTTGCGATTCTCCGTCGAGGCCCGTCAGAAGAACTATTTTAAGAGACCCTGTTTAAAAAAATAATAATTTCCCCCACCAAGGGATGTGAAGGAAGTAGTCGCCGAACGAAATAATTACATCACGGAATGACCAATGTGTTGGTATTAGGTTAAATATTAATACAGGGATATCTTGCCTGCTATTTATGAAAACACAAAGCATTAGTATGACGAAAACGCGAAACATTGTGGTGATATTTCTATAGCCTTAATAACTGATATTTAGGTGACAATGGGCTTTATTAGAACCACAATAATTAGTATAGGTATATGTTCTAGATTGTAATTATATTATAAAATAAAAAGATACTAAAGGGTCTATTTTGCCCCCCCCCCTTCCCCCGGTCCAAATTTTCTCTTATCATACTATTTTTTTTTAATTTAAGAAATTTAAATTACCTTTAAATTAAAATAGTAAAAGCCAAAGTATTCATTAAATGTTTATTTATTAAATTCACGATGATCTCATTTTTTTTAAAAAAAAAAAGAATGTAAATATTGATACTTTTTCTCATCCTTTTTTTTGATGTATGTAGAATGTATGAGTGGACGAATTTCAAAATACCTAAATATTTCAGTTTCGACTTCGGTTTCGGCCGAAACCAAAAAGTTAAACTTCGGTTTAATTTCGGCTTCGGCCGAAACTGAAATGTTAACTTTCGATTTAATTTCAGTTTCGACCGAAAGTCATTTTTAAATTTCGGCCTAGTTTCGGCTTCGGCCGAAATCAGAAAATCACTTTCGGTCGGTCTCTAGTGGAGGCGTACCTTGGTGTATGTGCACTTACAGGGTGTGTGTACCACGGTGCATTTACACTGACATGGTGATGGTACAGTGGTGTAAAATGTATTTACACTGACAGGATTGGGGTGTACCGTGGTGTATGTACACTGAAAGAGCGTGGTGTATAATGTATGTACACTGACAGGATGGGTTGTGCCGCGGTGAATGGTCACTGACAGGATGGGGGTTCTGGAAGAATAAAATGCATACATAATTTCTAGGCCGTGGAACTGTGGACATGCGTGCGCTCTCTCTCTCTCTCTCTCTCTCTCTCTCTCTCTCTCTCTCTCTCCCACTCTCTCTGTTTTTACACTTACTAAAATGCATACATAATTTCTAGGCCGTGGAACTGTGGACATGCGTGCGCTCTCTCTCTCTCTCTCTCTCTCTCTCTCTCTCTCTCTCTCTCTCTCTCTCTCCTACTCACTCTGATTTTACACTTAAACCCTTAAGCAGACACACCGAGATTGGTATGTCATCCCATAACTGGCTGAGTGAACAACGCTTGTGCCTCTGTGATGAGTGCTCTCAACGTTATAACAAGGGATAAATAAGTGAAGCAAAAACTAGAGAAATACCCGAGCACTTGAACACTTGTTTTGGGAAATCAAGAATTGACATCACTTGCGCGACGACATGGTCTCGGTGTCAATGATTGTGTGACATCGACTCAGTTCGTGTGTGACATCGACTCAGTTCTTGTGTAACATCGTGACAGTGATTGCGGGACGTGTGACAAGTACAAGGATCTAGAACGTGTCTGGCATCGAACTTTGAAGTAGTCGCCCAGTGCCGTCCTTGTCGCGACATTTTTGCCCGTTGGCACTGTCACACTGAGTGAAACTGTATTGAGAGAAGGATGCACGTTATGATGAGATCACCACCCGTCAACTACCCACCCTGCTGTCCACCCGAGCAGGCGCCGGTCAAGGAGGAGTGGGCGTGGTGTAGCGGTAAGTTTGCTGGGAACTTTTCTCATGTTGCCATACGTTATTTATTGCTATCTTTTCTTCTTTTTTTTTTCTCTTTGAGAACACTCAGCTTAACCGGAATTCTCTCCAATGGTGACTTCATGTTGAAACACAGTTTGTACATCTGTGTAATGTACTCTTAGATGCAATAACATATTTACTTTTACACACATGGGCAGTCAACCACGGTTGCACATCAAAATAACTCATCTGCTTAGTTGAAAGTGGTTTTTGATTGCGTTAAAGGGCGGGAAGCGAGGGACCGGAGAACTCAGGGGTAGATTCTGTACAAAAACAAGTGTACAATTTGTTGTAATAATGGGAGGATTTATGTTTTTCCTTGACACTGATCTCTTCACTACATTGATCACAACACTATTGGCGACCGCTGTGATTTGTTGTTACACCTGTGCTGTGTATGTGTGTTCGTGGCGCATTGGTGTGATGCCTGGTCAATGTGTCTGTCTGATGTGATGCCTGGTCAATGTGTGTGTGGTGTGATATCTGGTCAATGTGTGTGTCTGATGTGATGCCTGGTCAATGTGTGTGTTTGGTGTTATGCCAGTCATTTGTCTGTGTCTGATGTGATATCTGGTCAATGTGAGTGTCTGATGTGATGCCTGGTCAATGTGTGTGTGTGGTGTGATATCTGGTCAATGTGTGTGTCTGATGTGATATCTGGTCAATGTGTGTGTCTGATGTGATATCTGGTCAAGCGTGTCTGGCGTGATGCCTGGTCAATGTGTGTGTTTGATGTGATATCTGATCAATGTGTGTGCCTGATGTGAAGCCTGGTCAATGTGTGTGTCAGATGTGATATCTATTCAAGCGTTTCTGGCATGATGCCTGGTCAATGTGTGTGTCTGATGTGACGCCTGGTCAATGTGTGTGTCTGATGTGATGCCTGGTCGATGTGTGTCTTATGTGATTTAGTGCGATACCTGCTCAATGTGTGTGCCTGGTGTGAATGTTGGGCAAGTGAGAAACGATCTATGTGCAAACTGACAAAGTTGAAAGTCCCGGACATTATATTTTCTCTTTCACTTTCAACTCACCGATAATTTTCAAGTCCCTGATAACTATCTTGATTCAATTCATTAATGCGCGATACACATGTCATATTATGTCTCCGAATAATCATACAAATGAATGTAATCTAAAATCTTTAAAATTGTCTCATCTTATAATATAATTACCGAGTGGATGTTGTCCACCCCATGTACACTGGCAAGGCGCTCTCATTCGCTGCTTCCCACGCCGTACGCGCTAAATGCACACAAAAGAACACACTCTCCACTAACCTCCTTCTTCATTTATGCATGTATTTCTAAAAGGTTTTTAGTGAACTCTTAAGATTATATAGTCAATACAACCCCACATTGGTGGATAGATGGAGCGCCATGGGCAAGAATTATTATCAGAGAGTATGCATCTCTTCCCGTGGTTTTACACTTCTAGTACACACTTTGTCTTATTGGTCAGTTCATAGTCACAGTTTTTTGTTCAGATTTACATGACTAAATAATCGTACAACACAAAGCAAGAGTAACGTTTTTTTCCCAACATTTTGCGCCCGCACCCCAGAAGTGCAATATAGCATATCAGGAGGGAAAAGTTATTAAAAGATTCGAGGAGCCATTGATTTTTATTATATAAATGTTAAGTTTGTTTTTTTTTAATTTCTTCATTCCAAGTCCAATGCATGGGACAAGTCTCACGTTTATTTTCAAAGTTTTTAAGTTCTGTGTTTAATACAAGTTTTGTTTTTGTTTTTAAATAGGTCAACTTTTCCCGATTTTTCAATTCATTGTTACTATTGTACGGGGTGCGAGACTTAGTCAAACGATTCGTAGGGGGTCTTTACAATACATAAAAGGTTGGTAAACTCTGAGCCAGATCTTCCTTTGTTTTCTTTATTAGTGTGTTGTTGGGGGGGGGGGGGGGGGGGTGTTTTTCCCTGGTGGTGACTGCTTCTTACTGGGTCGGGAAGATTGGCGTGTGTACGGGCCCATGTTATAATAAGTGAACTCGCCTGATTGCTCCCTGTGTTAAAAAAAAACCTCATAAAAATGTGGACCCCAGTTCTTGTTACATATAGACAGGAGGCGGTTCTTGTTGTGTTAATTGGCTTCAGATGTGTCCGTTTGAGGTGAAATGGGGTATGGATGTGCTTCAGAGGGCATACCAGAATAATCCTCATCACCTGAATGAATGGATTCCGTCATCGACACTTTACACAACATCTGAACACGGGGGTGCTGTCCGTTTCCACGCAGTGGTGCCTTTTCGCACGGTTCGGTAACCTCTGCACCAGGTGACAAACAGTATCGCGTCCTCATTCTTGCCGTGCCCGGTGTTTTATTTATAGTCAGCCGGTTCACTATATAATAACACAACCACGTCCCTCCCCTCACTGGCTGTGCATGTGTGCGTGTGTGTGTGTGTTTTAAGTCGTATGCTATTTTTCAGTCGAAGCAGTTTTAATTTCCAATTACCCTGGAACAGCTGAGGATTTGTTCTCCCCATGTGGAAGAGGATTTTTTGGCCACCGGCGGTTGTCCTGGTTGATTAATTTGTCAATTACATTGATTTAGTGATGTGACGAGACACGTGTCGTTTATCGTTTGATGATCGCATGAAACTTTCAGGACCGGATAAGAAGGATATCATTGTGTGGCGCACATCATCATCATTGTGTTTATGGCGTCGCACGTTGCGCAGTTGTGTGTGTGGGGGTCACAGGGTGCGACACGCTCCTAACAGCTGAGAGGCGTTCTCCTCTGACTCGGTCGAGCGTGCCATCATTGTCTTATGGTCACCCCTGTTATTATGTGCAGTGTGGGTGGTGTTTTTTAAATACTTTATGCTCATCTGTTCTTATATATATATATATTTTGCTTCTGGCGCGTCCTGCTTCCTTTTCAAAATCGCCCTTCCCCAACTCCACATTTTTATATTACTAGTACTGAGTGACAAAAAGGCTGACATGACGTGTGAACTTAGGTATATGTAGTGGGAGGCGACTATTAAATTAATCGTTAAGCCCCGGGTATGGTGTAGGACTGTCCGTAGGACTATTGTTTAAGGGGCGGCGGGTAGTGTGTAGGACTGTCCGTAGGACTAATGCTTACAAGGCCGGCAGGTAGTCTGTAAGCCAACTGTTTAAAGGCCGGCAGGTAGTCTGTAGGCCAACTGTTTAAAGGCCGGCAGGTAGTCTGTAGGCCAACTGTTTAAAGGCCGGCAGGTAGGGTGTAGGACTGTCTGTAGCCCTATTTCTCAAAGACCCGGAACCGGTTTAAAAAACGGGCCCCCCGGTTACTCCCTAGTATTATTATATTCTTGTTTGGATTAACGATACATTAAACGTGCTTGAATTAAACAAGTGTTTGTGTAAATACGAGGCAAATTTCACTGATGTCATGTCAATGAGGTAAACCTATATGGTTATTAAGACTTAGGTTCAGTACACTTTTCTCTCTCTTTCTGAATTCAGGGTAAGATGTAAATATAAAGCGGTGTTGGCAGGAAACAGGGGTCCTCTAGCTCGGCCTGACAACGGTCCTCAACTCGGCCTGTCTGGGCGTCGCTCGGTTACAAAGAGTAGCCGGACAATGAAGATCTATTTAGCCAAAAGCAGGCCCATATTTCCCATTGAAATATTACCGTTTTTTCGCGTACTTAAGACGCGTCTTATACAAAGTTTTCCGTACCCCGCACCCAGGGTGCGTCTTATATATGGGTGCGTCTTATGTCAAATATGTTTTACACAAGTCATCAAAACCCACGTCTTATAAATGAGTGCGTCTTAGCTTATAATTAAGTGTGTCTTATATGCGCAAAAATACGGTAAGTATTTTTTTAACACAAACGAACGGTACAGTGTGTGATATTGAAGGACGATTATTGCGGTAGATGTTCACTTTTCACGATTTTCATTCTTAGTTGTAAAAACAATTGGGTAAGTGTTCAGTAATGACCCCGTGTACCAATCCAATGCAGGCCACTTCAAATTTAAAATCCTTTCCTTTCAATGTTTTGCATACCGTAAGTATTGCAGATCTAAGTTTAGCCGGAGTAAATGTTTTAAATTTATACGATATGGCATGTTTAAATATTTTTGCCGTTTATTATTTCTAGAATCTAGAGACGGAGACTAAACCCATCCGCTCTTGGCCCGGCGGCAGATCATGAATAAACACTAATCGTTGCTGTCCTGCCTCAGACAATTCTTTGATCTACCGGTAAACTTAAAATTGTAAGGAAGCCTTGTTTACGTCCGACTGGCGATGAATCATTTGACACATTTTCACTTATGACAAAGGAAAGGAAACCACTGGATTTAAGTTGTTCAGTGCGGCAGATGGCCAGGCCACGTGCGTCTTATGTCATTGTTGTTTACGCAAATCGCCAAAACCCGCGTCTTATATACGGGTGTGTATTTTAATTAGGTGCGTCTTATATGCGCGAAAATACGGTAGTAAATTGATGTGGATTAAAATTGTTCTTCATTTTAATACCGTAATGTATCTTCCTGGTTTTATTACCATACAAAGAAGATTTGTGGCGTGTTCATATCAATTTGATCATATTTTTTTCAAGCTATAGTCTGAATCCAAAAGTGTATGTGGGACAGTGAACCGGCCCCCTGATTAAAATCTTTGAGGACCCCTGGTATAAAAAAAAAATTAACTAATGAATGACTTCACTAAACAGCTTAAACTCCACTGCATTCATGGTTATTTTTTTCCTGGAGTTGCCCTCGTTAAAGTCAACAAGACTCCTACTAAGTGCTAAGAGATCATATTCTAGCTCTATCTCACCAAAGTTATATTTCCACCTTCTATCTCTTTCGGACCCTCCCTTTGTCACTCTCTTTCTTTCTCACTCTCTCTCTTCCCCTGTAAATTTCTCTCTAGCTTTCTCTCTATCTCAGTCTGTCTAACTTTCTCTCTCTCTTTCTCACTCCCTCTAACTTTCTCTCCATCTCTTTCTGTCTCTCTCACTCCCTCTAACTTTCTCTCCATCTCTTTCTGTCTCTCTCACTCCCTCTAACTTCTTTCTCTCCATCTCTTTCTGTCCCTCTCACTCCCTCTAACTTTATCTCCATCTCTTTCTGTCTCTCTCACTCCCTCTAACTTTCTCTCCATCTCTTTCTGTCTCTCTCACTCCCTCTAACTTTCTCTCCATCTCTTTCTGTCTCTCTCACTCCCTCTAACTTTCTCTCCATCTCTTTCTGTCCCTCTCACTCCCTCTAACTTTATCTCCATCTCTTTCTGTCTCTCTCACTCCCTCTAACTTTCTCTCCATCTCTTTCTGTCTCTCTCACTCCCTCTAACTTTCTCTTCTTTCTCTCTCTCTCTCTCTCTTCTCTCTCTCTTTCACATTTTCTCTTTCTCTCTCTTTCTCGCTCTCTCTCTCTCTTTCTCGCTCTCTCTCTCTCTTTCTCTCTCTTTCTCTCTCTCTCTCTCTTTCTCTCTTTCTCTCTCTCTCTCTCTCTCTCTCTCTCTCACTTTCTCTCTCTCTCTCTCTCTCTCTCTCTCTCTCTCTCTCTCCCTCTCTCTCTCTCTCTCTCTCTCTCTCTCTCTCTCTCTCCCCCTCTCTCTCTCTCTCTCTCTCTCTCTCTCTCTCTCTCTCTCTCTCTCTCTCTCTCTCTCTCTCTCTCTCTCTCTCTCTTACTCCCTCTAACGTTGTCTCTTTTTCACTCCCTCTAACTTTATCTCTCTTTCACTCCCTCTAACTGTCTCTCTCTGTCTCTTTCTCTCCCTACCATCTTCCTTCTGAAACAGGAATAGATCGATAATATCACTTTAAATTTTAAGTAACAGGTGTATCACTTAATTATTCATGATCTGTGACCAATATAATTAGCATGATAATTTTAAAAAAATTATATTTGGTCATAAATATAGTTTAAGCCATGGTATCCCAAACTGGGGTGTGAGCAAGCCAAGGATTTGTGAGCTGGCGTGTCAGGGGGTGTGAGATGGCACGACACGGGGTGCGAGATGGCACGACACGGGGTGCTAGCTGGCATGTCAGAGGGTGCTAGCTGGCATGTCAGAGGGTGCTAGCTGGCATGTCAGGGGTGCGAGGAAATGATTATATGAACAGAGGAAAGGCTACCTTTCGTATTGTGATATGAAATGTTTATTTTTAACCAATATTCATTGACATTCAACTTGATGTAACAAGTTACAAGTTAATTGTTTTTATTTTCTTCAGTTCACCTTGCAATGCCATTTACAAAAAAATATATAAAAATTTAGAAACCCTATATTTTAACATTTAAATATATATATCGTTACCTTTTGTAGTGGGAAATCTTTGGGGATCGAGACTTAGTCAAAGAAATTGTGATGTGATGTGTCAAGCAAATCTTTGTAGGATCGAGACTTAGTCAAAGAATTTGTAGTGTGGGTACGAGAGGTAGTCAGACAATATTAGGGGGTGCAAGACTGTGTACAAAAATGTATAGAGGGTTCGAGATGAGTAAAACAATTTGTAGTGGATGCAGAATATAGAAAATGCTGGTGAACCCTGATAGAAGTACGTCAATTTCAATTATTCCCGTAACTTTGAAGTACAGTTATTTAATTTATTTTTTTCTTGAAAAGTCTAACGATCTGTAATACAAATGCAATGATAATGAATACAAGTACAAGCTATCATTACCATCCCCGTGTTTTTTGTGGTATGCTGCTGGCTTAAGCTCGTAAATATTTGCATACATATCTGTAGGAGATTTGTTTGTCTCTAATGACCTGAAATATGCAGGAATAATGATGAGAGCTTCATCGCGTAGGTAATGTGATCAACTGGTTTTTTATCCCTGAATTATTGATGTTTGTGACAGCCTGTCGTCCTGGGCTTGTCCCGGCGTAATGGGCTGGACCGTCGTATGTGATAAGGTGAACGGGTTTTTTTAGGGATAGGGTTGAACATGCTATGTTGAATGGACTAAAGTTATATGTAGTGTAAAGAATTTCTAAAAAATCGCCAAAAGGACTAGAGATCGTGGACCAGAGTTAGTTTAGTGGACTTCCAACAATCGTCGAATGGACCAGAGTTAGTGTAGACGACTTCCAACAATCGTCGAATGGACCAGAGTTAGTGTAGACGACTTCCAACAATCGTCGAATTGACCAGAGTTAGTTAAGTGGACTTCCAACAATCGTCGAATGGGCCATAGTTAGTTTAGTGGACTTCCAACAATCGTTGAATGGACCAGAGTTAGTGTAGTGGACTTCCAACAATCGTCGAATGGACCAGAGTTAGTGTAGTGGACTTCCAACAATCGTCGAATGGACGAGAGTTATTATAGTGTAAGAAAAATACTGGGAGGAGTGTATTCAGGTTGAAGCAAAAGAAACATGCAAAGGGTAGAGGAAACCTGACAGAGGACAATACAAAAAAGCGGCCGTTTTGGCCAAAAAGCCTTGGATAGCAAAAAAAAGGGGAGTTTTTAGACACGTACGCCTTTTTTTTTCTTTTTTTTTTTTTTTTTTTTTTTTTTTTTCTTTTTTTTTTTTTTTTTTTCCCTTTTTTTTTTTTTTTTTTTTTTTTTTTTTTTTTTTTTGGCCTTTTTCAGGTTTTTAACTACCCTTTGTGTATTTATTTAGAGTTAGTTTAGTGGGCTTCCAACACAATTTTGAATGGACTATGATGGTTTTATCTTCTTCTTTTTATGCATTTTTACCCCGTCTGGGGCATAGACCGTCCACAAGAATTTTCCATTCATCACGGTCCTGTGCTTTCTTTTCCAGTTGCTTCCAGGTGTATCCCATATTTTGCGTGTCTGCCTCTAGCTCGCGTCTCCATGTATTCTTTGGCCTTCCTCTCTTACTTTTTCCCTGTGGATTCCACGTTAGAGACTGTCTGGTGATGCTATCTGGGGGTTTTCGTAGAGTATGCCCTGTCCACCTCCATCTTCTTTTTATGATGTCTTCATCAATGGGTAAGTCCTTTCTAGTAGATCTTTGTTAGTGATAGTAATTGGCCATTTGATGTTCCATAGATTTAGTGTGACGTTAATTTCTTTTTTTTTTAAAACACGTCTGATGTAGTACTGTTTATAAATCTCGTTGATAATGTCCTTATCTGTGTAACCTCTAACTAGACTGCTGTCATGATGGTTTTTCTGTCCAAATAGGTTCGATAAATCCTTGCCATAGTGATTCGTGTAGCCGTGTATGCACACATGAGCTGATAGAACTCTGTGAATGTGATGGATATGTAGACACCCCCATCATGCCATGCTTAACGATCACTCGTGGCCCAACGGTACATGCCCTAGATCCTTTTTTTTCCCCCCTTCCAAAATGGTTATCGCGGACCTGTCGCTCCGCGAGTCTTACGTTGCCGGTCTGCAAAAAATGAATATTTATAGTTAAATATTTTTTTAGCAAAGTAATAAATCTCGTACCGGTCCCTGGTGCAATCTCGAAACTGATCCACCGGTCCGTCAAACATGAAAGTTTGGGAAACACAGCCCTAGATCAGTGTTAACCAAAGTGTCGACGCGTACCCCTGGGGGTACGGGAAGAGTTTGGTGGGGGTACTGGAAGAGTTTGGTGGGGGTACTGGAAGATCTTGGTTGGGGTACGGGAAGAGTTTGGTTGTGGTACCGGAAGAGTTTGGTTGGGGTAGCGGAAGAGTTTGGTGGGGGTACTGGAAGAGTTTGGTGGGGGTACTGGAAGAGTTTGGTGGGGGTACTGGAAGAGTTTGGTTGGGGTACGGGAAGAGTTTGGTTGGGGTACGGGAAGAGTTTGGTTGGGGTACGGGAAGAGTTTGGTTGGGGTACGGGAAGAGTTTGGTTGGGGCACGGGAAGAGTTTGGTTGGGGTACGGGAAGAGTTTGGTTGGGGTACGGGAAGAGGTTTGGTTGGGGTACGGGAAGAGTTTGGTTGGGGTACGGGAAGAGTTTGGTTGGGGTACGCGCTGCAAAGGAGGAAAAAAAATCTTTTTTTTTAAAATATTGTTATTTCAGTGTATGGATTTTTTTTTTTTAACTTAGGATACTGTGTTACCAAAATTATAGACAGGGGTACACAGTTGTCGAACGTTTGGGAAACACTGCAATAGATGATGACGGATACTTCCCTTGTCAAATGATAAAGCATAACGATTTCAAATACCGTTTCTTCCTTCCTTTCGTTCGTTTATTCTTATTTTGTTGGCCTTTTGTCATATTTTCGCTTTTTTTTTTTTATCCTCCAGATTCTTTCATCTTTTCTGTTCCTATTGCACCTAATCAAGTTACCCCTTAGACAAAGATATTCATCACACAGACAGGCCCCTGTTGTCGAACGTTTGGGAAACACTGCAATAGATGATGGCGGATACTTCCCTTGTCAAATGATAAAGCATAACGATTTCAAATACCGTTTCTTCCTTCCTTTCGTTCGTTTATTCTTATTTTGTTGGCCTTTTGTCATATTTTCGCTTTTTTTTTTTTTATCCTCCAGATTCTTTCATCTTTTCTGTTCCTATTGCACCTAATCAAGTTACCCCTTAGACAAAGATATTCATCACACAGACAGGCCCCGTCGCTAATGTACACAAACCAAATGACATGTAGCTAGCAACCCTGATGGATGCTTGTCACTTGTTTAGAAAATTGAACGTGTTTATTGAATGGTCATTGATTCAGCCGGTGGTGTTAATTAAATGGTCACTGTGCTTCATTTCACTAACTTCTGTTCGTGGAAAATGCTGATCGACTGTGCTTAATCAAATAATGGTCAGTCGTTTTGAGGTACAACGAAAAATATTCGGATTGTTCCGTGCGATATTAAGATATGCAATCTATATTTTTAAAGTTACACATGACAGTGGTAGCGAAATAAGGTTAGATGTGGCCACCACCTCCAAGGTCAGCTTTATCTAATGTCTTAACTGTCTGGTTTTTTTCCCCCTCTTATCTCCGAATTTTTTAGGCCGGGTTTTTTTTCAGACACATCGTGTTCACAGCGCCCTCTAGCGGCAAAAAAAAAAAAAAAAAATCGGTTAATTTGACCCTTTGTTAACGAATTTCACAACGTTGCAAATTCATAGTTCAATGCACTGAGTTTAAATTTGGATGATTCATCATATCTTTAAGAATAAAAAAATTAACCATAAATTATAGGATTGCGACCAATTATTTTATAATTGATTATGACGTCATACAGATAGGATCTCGTTAAGGAGTAGACATGAAATACGTAATGTCCAAATTTAGTTGTTTCTAATGAATACTTTTCAATCTGCCTTTTGGTTTTACATTCGGTAATTATAATGGATAGGATTAACAGCACCTTGACCAAGCCTGGGTTGTACTATGTACACGTGTCATTAATAGCACCTTAAACAAGCCTGGGTTGTACTATGTACACGTGTCATTAATAGCACCTTAAACAAGCCTGGGTTGTACTATGTACACGTGTCATTAATAGCACCTTAAACAAGCCTGGGTTGTACTATGTACGCGTGTCATTAATAGCACCTTAAACAAGCCTGGGTTGTACTATGTACATGTGTCATTAATAGCACCTTAAACAAGCCTGGGTTGTACTATGTACACGTGTCATTAATAACACCTTAAACAAGCCTGGGTTGTACTATGTACACGTGTCATTAATAACACCTTAAACAAGCCTGGGTTGTATTATGTACACTTGTCATTAATAGCACCTTGACCAAGCCTGGGTTGTATTATGGTATGGTATGTAGTACACTTTTTCCCTGTGCGTGAACTTTCTTTGACCCCGCATTAGACTACTATAAATTTCTAATTTCTCACAATAGAAGCCAGTGCGTAACAATTACGTACACGTGTCATTAACACCACCTTGACCAAGCCTAGATTATACCATGTACACAATCTGTATTTTGAGACGCATGTACAATAGTTCACATTATGATTGAAGTTGTTCATTTATGGAAGTTGTTCTGTTACCATTACGAGGATAAAGTATGTCACATTATGAGAGTTATGGACGGCGCTTTATAAAATATATTGTACCTCCTGGATTGGTATGTCAGTCACATCAGACTTGTTTTTTTTTCTTACATGGGTTGTATGTGTCACATTGAAAACAGGTTGGTGATCTAAATAAAACTCTAGGTTCCCCGTCATTTGGACGGGCTATTGCTAGTAGTTGTTAAAATATAATGGGATCCCTATAACCGGAGAGAATTGACGTGAAACGTTTGCCGTGTTTGTTCATAATAACCGAATTTCTATGACACAAACATGACCATAGTTCTCTGTTATCTTTTAACAGTCTCATAGGAGAGCAAGCAAACGTTGGGAAACGTCTAGCTTGTCACAGACCAGTTGTATAGCGGCGTTAGAATGAGCTAGGTCGCTAATAGGTAGCATGGAAATTAAACAAACCTTGAGGCTGGATTAGAGAAGGGCATCTTCTTTGTCATGATGTGCCTTTCCTGAGGCATAGTGGGGGGGGGGGGCTACTCTTTAAGATAGAGTGGGGCTACTCCTTAAGTCAGAGTGGGGCTACTCCTTAAGTCAGAGTTGGGCTACTCCTACTCCTTAAGTCAGAGTGGAGGAAACTCCTTAAGTTAGAGTGGGGCTACTGCTTAAGTCAGAGTGGGGCTACTTTTTTGAGTCAGAGTGGGGCTACTCCTACTCCTTACGTCAGAGTGGAGGATACTCCTTATGTTAGAGTGGGACTACTTCTTAAGTCAGAGTGGGGCTACTTCTTAAGTCTTAGAGGGATTAGTTAGTGAGAGAGTGTGGGATCTCTCTAAATTAGAGTGGGGCTACTCCATTGTCAGAGTGTGAGGACCTCGAAGTCGTAGAGGATCTACCCTAAAGTTGAAGTTGGGTACCCTGAATCAGATAATTGCTTCTTCAATGTCTGATTCCTCAGTTCGATATTGAGCCGGGGACGCCTATGGGATAAAGATGAGCCACGCTTGAAATATTGGTGTTATTGTCACTTGCCGAGTTCGAATCGAAAAGTCTTCTTTTATCTCAATGTCTTATTAACTCTAGCCATAAACTGATAAGCGGAACATAGGGTCCGTCAGTGAGATATGGGTTGGAAGATGGCACACATTCGCAATGTGTACCAAGGTTTGGAAATCACATCAAGTGCGATTGCTGAGCACAAGTGATTTATTGACTATCAGAATGATGAACTCCTTTGGATCACTTCCACACGGCACCCCGTGCTATCACATCGATGTTCGAAAATCGTTGAAATTATATCTAATGCGCGCCGTTATCGCTGTGAATTGGGTTACATGCAGACACTGGTTTTATTGACTATCTCAAGTTAAACACCGAGTCTTGATGTTCACACTGATGTCCGGGACTTGAGCCGCACACAACTGGCCGTAGTAGCCAAACGCCTGCCTTAGCCGCAGCCGCTTCTCCTAACCTTAGAGGGTTTGAGCACATGCCTATCTAATGTGACCTACCGGATTAGATTTGTGTTCGTTTTTCTGTTTATTTCACTTGGCCCGTGTGCTCGTTTGTTGGACACAACTTCCAGTGTAGATTTGTGTAGGAATCCGTACATTACCAAGTTCTTTTAGATGCTTGTACAGTGCTGGGTTAATACATTAGTCAGAGGCGTTGGCTTTTTTGGTGAAGACTTTTTGTACTCAGTCAAGTTGACTTATTGGTGAAGACTTTTTGTACTCAGTCAAGTTGACTTATTGGTGAAGACTTTTTGCACTCAGTCAAGTTGACTTATTGGTGAAGACTTTTTGTACTCAGTCAAGTTGACTTATTGGTGAAGACTTTTTGTACTCAGTCAAGTTGACTTATTGGTGAAGACTTTTTGCACTCAGTCAAGTTGACTTATTGGTGAAGACTTTTTGTACTCAGTCAAGTTGACTTATTGGTGAAGACTTTTTGTACTCAGTCAAGTTGACTTATTGGTGAAGACTTTTTGCACTCAGCCAAGTTGACTTATTGGTGAAGACTTTTTGCACTCAGTCAAGTTGACTTATTGGTGAAGACTTTTTGTACTCAGTCAAGTTGACTTATTGGTGAAGACTTTTTGTACTCAGTCAAGTTGATTTATTGGTGAAGACTGTTTGTACTCAAACAAGTTGACTTATTGATGAAGACTTTTTGTATTCAGTACCGCTGACTTTTTCTGGTCAGGTAAAATATGTGTGGGGTTTTTAACTCTCGCCACATCGGTTCATAAGAATGGGTTGATGGACCCCCACCTCAAGGGATGGGCGAATCTGCTTTGGGGGGTGGGGGGGGGGGTTACGGGAAGCTTGATTTTAAAAAAAAATTTGGTTAATGAAAATGCTTCAATCGATACATGGTTTTAAAAGTTTTCAAAACTGTTCTCCCTGAGGGAATGGGACTTTTTAGTTTTACAAACTGGGACATTTGTGCCATCACCCATGTGGAAAGTTTCCAATTTGATTTCAAAAAGTAAAGGCCTGTGCCGTCAACAGAGTAATAATCTGATCATGTATGGTGAACAATATTGTTTATTTTATGTTCTATTTCCACAGAAGTTTCAAATTCATTGTATCCATTTAATTTCAATGTTTCATTATTGGGAAGTGGAAGGACAACGTGGTATAACGGCATCAAACACTTTTTTATGGAGAAAATGGGGTACTGATTCGCCTAGCCGTGTCTAACTCAGGCAATAGAGGACCTTTCTCGTGACTGTGACAGACTAGGTCTTTAGGCCGAATAGATTAGGTCTGCAATCAGGATAAAATTAGGCTTGCAATCAGGATATGTTAGGTCTGCAATCAGGATAAAATTATTCCTGCGAGAAGGATAAAATTGGGTTTGCAATCAGGATAGATAGATTAGGTTTGCAATCAGGATAGATAAGTTCTGAGGGCAGAATAGATTTTGTATACATTTAAGCTATAGCATGTATGAGGGCGGGATAGGTCGAGTCCATCACATTTCGTTCATCAATAAGGTCGGTCTGTTGAACCAAGGCGGTTCCAGAAGTGGTTGAGTTTTTTGTAGATCATCTCAAGCTAGAGTCAAATGACCACGGTCTATCTAGACTGACTAGTAGTAGTAGATGACATACAATAAACACCATTGAATGACTCATATTCTGTTTTACTTTTACTATCTCATGTAAAACCAAGATGTTTCATATCTTAAATATTAAAATATGTCAAAGATCCCCCCCCCCACACACACACACACTTTTTTAAAACATGGAATTCTCTGAAATGTTTAAGTAATCCCAACAAGAATGTCTTCACCTTTAAATAGAACAAGTTAATTACTCTTTCATTTATCTGTGCTTGAAATTCCAACTTTTAATTAAACCTCGTGCAAGTTAATGAATACTGTTATGGACACGTGACTCTCAACATTGTTACGTTCAATGATAGTTGGCTTTTCTTACATTTGAATTTATTTTTTTTTTTTTTTTTTTTTTTTTATTAAAATTTTCCCCCCCCCCCTTTTTTTTCCCCCCCCCCCCCCCACCCCCACACCCCAACCCACTGGTTTAAAAAAAAAAAAAAAAGATGTGTTCTTATTTTGGCCTTGAAAGTTTCTCCCAGAATTCATGATAAGGCATGTTTTATAACTGTAACACATTCTAGTTATCAGCATTTCCCTATCAGTCTTATACTCCATGTTAACACAAGAGATATGGACGGGCATAAGAGATATGGACGGGCACGGGGGCAGGTTCTTTTTACAAACTTTTTGTTGAATAAACCCTTCAGTAGAGCATGGATTCTCTTTCAGTAGCCGGCAGTTAGCTTAAAGCGTTTATTTTAATCGGTTACCATGACTACTCACGTCATCGCCGCTTGTTAACAGTCTTGACAATTGACTTGATTAGGGGCTTGTTTTTATTCTCTGTAAACCACATTATCAATATGGACGTTGAAGCTGTTACCATTGGTGACGGAGAATAGAGGGACAAGATAATGGTCGGATCGATTCATTAAATTCACGTCCGGCCTGACCTGTTCATTATCAAAATATAACATTGACGGTTTTGGCCAAGTTCCGGTGTTGAGAAGAGCTGCATTGTTGGACCATCAATGACGCACGTGTTGACCCAGGGTTACAGGGGCCCTGCTAATGTTTCTTTTGCTTTTTTTTTTTTTTTACCAGAGATTAAATATTATGAAATTTTGTACTAAACAAATGATTGGTGCGTGCGTCCCAATGTTGCTGAGTTCACTCAAATGGTTTCTTTAAAAACATAAATATTGTAAGGCTGTGGGCGGTCTTTTCAATAATCTACTAAAGCACTTTTAAGCTTATGTTGGGTACTTTTAAAAGTCTTTTTGAATAGGCTAAATTATGCTTTGTACTTTAGCATCCTACTTTTTAAAATATTTTATAGAGGGGTCCCTTAATATGTTTCCGGGACACCTGAATTTCTCCTAATACAGCACTGGTCCAAATAATAAAAAATCTACATGAGCGTGTCAGTATGCTTTGTAGGCGCCAGTGTTAGTCGTACATACACCGGCAGTTGTCGTGTGATTATAAAGTCCGACCAAAGTAGTGATATTCTCCAACTACTGATAGAAACACTCGTCAATCCTTTATTGTCTGTAGGTTGACTGTAGAAAGTTTCAACATGTACCTTGGTCTAGAGCAGCACACAATTCCGTGCCTGAACATACGGAACCTCACGCTGTTACTGTCAATGAACCCGTCGATACAAGACTGAGACTGACTCTGACACGGCTACTGATGTAGACATGGACATTCATTAACACTGAAATTAATCTCAATTTGTGACCACCACTTAACACCATAAGCTGTCGCCATCTCCGCCTTGCTTGGCTTCTCTACTCCCGGACAGCTGTGCGTTCTATTCGATACAACAGAAATGTGTGGCCGCTACATACACTGAATTCAGACGTTTTGTTCATTTAGAGAGGTTGTTTTTTTTTTTTTTTTAAACTATCGGTGTGACTTCTGATTATGTGCTGACCGAGACCTAATCCAGAGCTAATGTACTTAGGCCTAATCCAGAGCTAATGTTCTTAGACCTAATTCAGAGCTAGTGTACTTAGACCTAATCCAGAGCTAGTGTACACAGTGTGCTCACCAATACTGTTAGGTGTAATGATTAGTGTGTATTTCTTAGATCAAATTGAGCCTTTATAAAGCTGTAAGTTAATTCTATAAACATCAACTTATTTGTACGATGGTTCGGACTTGAAGAGGACGTTGAATTTGCTCTCTGCTGGGAGTCCTAAGGATGTGATGTGAAATAAACAATCCGTGGCACTGAACATTTGCTCCTAGTCCCGTGTGCCTTGTACCAGAGCTCAATACAGCGTCTCAGCATGCCGCTCTTTGACTCAATCGTGTTGACGGAGGTCAGTAACATTGGTGACGTGGACCTGGCCTGCGGCATGACCTCTCTGTTCGAGGACGGCATCTCCGTCCTTCACGGCACGGTCTTCGGGTCGCCCAAGCGGGAGGTCGAGGAGACCCTGGACATGTACTACGAGGACGAAGACGAGGGCCGGCCGGGGGACAAGGACTCGCTGGAGAACGGCTTCGGTCTGGGTCTGGACTTGAGTTTAGGTTTCTCCGAGCGCATGAACGTCGGAATCACTGCCGACAAGAGTTGCTCGACCGTAGAGTCGGATTACGGTAAGTCTTTGAACACATAGTGCCAGGGGGGGGGGGGGGATTATGTCTGATCGTGCTTGTACGGGCACCGTACTTATAATGTGACCAATGTTCCCTTTAAGCTGCGCCGCCGCGCAGTAATCTCCCCGACGCTTTGTGAGGTGGGCGGGTGGGGTGGGACGTGTGGGATGGGACGTGTGGGATGGGACGTGTGGGATGGGACGTGTGGGACGGGGGAGATTATGTCTGATCGTGCTTGTACGGGCACCGTACTTATAATGTGACCAATGTTCCCTTTAAGCTGCGCCGCCGCGCAGTAATCTCACCGACGCCGCGCAGCAGTTTTGAGTACCGCGCAGCTAATTTCCGCTTAAGTTTGTGTCTGTAGGCTGTAAAATTTTGCGCACACAAAAATTGATGCTGTAAAAATTTGCTCACAACTTTATGATTTTGCACACGAACCAACAGACCTTAGAGGGAACATTGAATGTGACCCTATTATTATTTAAAATTCTTTTAAACTCTCTGTAGACAGTCTCCGTTTCTCCATTTACTTTCATGCTGCAATCTGAATTATGTCTATCTGAATATGTTTAACTTACTAATCTACTCATTTTAGATTGTAATACACCTGTTACCCTTGACTGGACCAGTTGTGAAGTTTGGGTTGTAGTGGTGTGGGTGCTTGGGATGTCGGTGTTAAGAGTGCTCTGTAGGATTATATTTAACGTCAGGGGTGCTATCTAGGGTCGTATTTAATGTCAGGGGTGCTCATGGGGATTTTATTTAATAAAGGTTAACTTAAAAATGTTTTGAAAAAAAAAAGACATTGCGGGCATTGCCAGGCATTTTAACATTTCTTGTCAACCACTCGATAATCTAGTTCAACTGAATTGCTTAACCATTTTCATCTCTATCAGTATTCCATTTATCCACCCACTCCAACGTCTGTCTGTGTCACTCTCCCACTATAAAAAAAACCTATCAATTAACTGTTTTTTTTTATGCATCTATAATATCCGTATTTACTTGTGAGTAGGTACTTAGTTACTCACCGTAGCTATAATACCCGTACTTACTCGTGAGTAGGTACTTATTTACACACCATAGCTATAATACCCGTACTTACTTGTGAGTAGGTACTTGGTTACACACCATAGCTATAATACCCGTACTTACTTGTGAGAAGGTACATGGTTACACACGTAGCTATAATATTCGTACTTACTTGTGAGTAGGTACTTGGTTACACACCATAGCTATAATACTCGTACTTACTTGTGAGTAGGTACTTGGTTACACACCATATCTATAATACTCGTACTTACTTGTGAGTAGGTACTTGGTTACACACCATAGCTATAATACCCGTACTTACTTGTGAGTAGGTACTTGGTTACACACCATAGCTATAATATTCGTACTTACTTGTGAGTAGGTACTTGATTACACACCATAGCTATAATACTCGTACTTACTTGTTAGTTGTTACTTAATTACACACGTAGCACAGAACATTTGTTTTTCCAGTTTTAAATGTAACAACTCAAAGACCTGTATTTCTGCGCAAGCAGTTACATTATTATAGTTCTCTGCAGGCGATGGTGGGGATCAACGGGCAATAGTGAATCAGTAAATAGCATTTTATTTGTATTATATGCCAATGTTGTTCATTTATATAAAAAAATATACTGAAATCCTAGTTCTTTGTCTAAGTTGGTCATATCACAATCACGACCCAAAGACGTTTTTGTAAGAGTATGGAAATGTGTGAGGACAATGTTGGGGGGGGAAAAGCAAAGGCTCACCATTGGAACATGAAACTTAAAGTAAGACAAGAATTCTTAAGTCTAGTTAAATGAAGCGTTAACTTGGGCTTTGGGGGGGGGGCGCTAAGTTAAGCTCAAGTTTATCAGCAACAAATATCCTAAACAAATGACTTTAACCGATAAGTCTTGAATTGGGTGTGTAGCTCATCTGTGCATTCAGTTCTCTTGTACCACCGTACTGCTGTACAGCCGCTGTACCGGCAGGCCTGGTTTACTTATCAGCTCTATTTGCGTAGCCCATACTCGTGTCATTACTGGAAGGATAGCCGGTGTATAAAACACAATGACCTGGTTGGTTAAATCTTGTTGATTGGGTCATGTTAGACTTGTGGGGGCTATGGGGGACTCAACCAAAGAGAGACGTACGCAGAGGAGCTGTGTTTAAGCACATGTGTCCCTAACCTGTGACACGCAGATCGATTTTCAGTGGCACGTTGAAGACCACAAAATAAACAACAACGACCTAAACCAAAATTCCTCTCACAAGGTAGAGGCCTACTTATAGTTGGTGGCACGCTGAATTATATAGAAATCCCTATACCACAGGGTTGGCGATCCCTGATATAGCACATTATGCATAACACAACATTGGTATGTTGAATACATAACGCAACAAATACATAGCACAACATTGGTACGTTGAATACATACAACAACATTGGTGTGTTAAAGACACTAAATAAAAACGAAAATGGTCATGAAAACTGCACAAGCACCTCACTTGCATATTATGAGGGCAACACTGTGTAGAGCAGTAAGTCCTATAAAAATAAAGGGAAACACGATGGCTATAGCTATAACAATTGATGTATTTGGTTTAACCGCGACGACGTATTTCCAACCTTGCAATCTAATATTGAAACAACCAGTAGTCAAAATGTGCACTCGCCCTTTATTTGGTAAAAAAAAATGTTAAATCTCTCTTCTTTTGCAAAAATAGTGTTAAATCTCTTTTGTATGGCACGAATAATGTTAAATATCACTTATATGGCAATAATAATGTTAAATATCTCTTATATGGCAATAATAATGTTAAATATCTCTTATATGGCAATAATAATGTTAAATATCTCTTATATGGCAATAATAATGTTAAATATCTCTTATATGGCAATAATAATGTTAAATATCTCTTATATGGCAATAATAATGTTAAATATCTCTTATATCTCATTTTCTGTCTCGTGCCAAAATGTGCCAAAGTGTCCTCGTTTTATAGCCATTTTAATTGTTTCTATAGTATAGTATTTACTATCCTAGTGTCTCATTTTTATTTTACTTAGTTTACATGTTTTTAATAATTGTAAAGCGCTTAGAGCTTTAAGGTAAGCGCTATATAAAAATGCCTAAATAAATAAATAAATAAATATGGCAATAATAATGTTAAATATCTCTTAAATGGCAATAATAGTGTTAAGTATCTCTTATATGGCAATATCATGTTAAATATCTCTTATATGACAATAATAATGTTAAATATATTTCATGAAACAATCATGGGATTTCAGGTCCTATTATCAAATCAGATGACTAGCGCAGTGATGATAATAAAAGTCGAAGGGAAACAACCGCAACTAATAAATCAACTTTAGTTAATTCCCCTTAAGAATAAAACTTTCAACGTTTCCCTAAAGGCGCAAATATGTCAACATGCTAAACTTAAAATAGATACCTTGATTTCCTTTAATCATGATATACATTGTTGGTGGACTATTTACTTTGTCAACAAACAGATGGTATTATACTATTATTATTTCTATTTTTATAATAATTTCTAACTTTTTGGGAACATTACACAATAATTATGAGAAATTAATATTTTGTTGCAGATTCAGACAGCGGTGGTACAAGGCGTAGACGATCAGGGGCGTCATCAAGTAAGTCAATAGTAAATATAATATTTTATTGTCTCGTGTGAAACTCTTCATTTAGACACATCTGGTGTACTCTAACGATGCAATTCAAATGAAGATAAAATAATTAATTTTTCATATGACAGTGCTAGTAGGCCCCTATATTGTTGGTGAGTGCGCAGTGACTCGGAGACAGTCATACGACAGTGCTAGTAGGCCCCTATATTGTTGGTGAGTGCTCAGTGACTCGGAGACAGTCATACGACAGTGCTAGTATATTGTTGGTGTGTGCTCAGTGACTCGGAGACAGTCATATGACAGTGCTAGTATATTGTTGGTGAGTGCTCAGTGACTCGGAGACAGTCATACGACAGTGCTAGTATATTGTTGGTGAGTGCTCAGTGACTCGGAGACAGTCATACGACAGTGCTAGTATATTGTTGGTGAGTGCTCAGTGACTCGGAGACAGTCATACGACAGTGCTAGTATATTGTTGGCTCGTTTGGTGGCTATTCGGCAGGGGCGTACCTACCTAGAGTGTTTTGTCCTGGGGCCAAGTTTAATTTTGAACGAACTTTCCCCCCGCCCCCCCACCCTTTTTTTTGTCAACTCTGAAATCCATTGTTTTCATCAATAAAGCACCATTAAAGCCCTTTTTTTTCACCCCACAGTCGCCTTGTACCCTGGTGCATCTATCCTCTTTCCCCCCTTAGCTACGCTTTGCTGTTCGGTGGCCTTGAATTTAGATTTAGTTCAGATTTGCGGTATCAGTTATATTTAAAACATCTTATTCAACATCCCGGAGATCTGTTCAACATCCCATCCATCTTGTCCCACGCCCATTCAATCTATTTGGACTGTGTTGTTGTGTATTCTGGTTATTGGAGCATGGTCAGCCAACTTCAAAAGGTGCTAGGAAAGTGTTTCCAACGGGTTTTTGTTGTTGTTATTGTTAATTGTTGAATTGAATCGTTTAGTTTGCTGGGGGGTGCTATACTTAATTACTCACATACCTTTACCACTGTGGGTGCACGCCATTGTTGGAAGGGTTGTGGACCAAAGCTTTGATGTGAAGAGTCGGGCACTTGAGATTAACTTGAGAATATAGTGCATGTGGTGTGTTGTTATGGATGTGGTCAAACTTCTAGTTGTCATTTGATCCTAGGACAGAAGGCGAGCTGTTCAATTACTAAACTTTTCATATCAACACACCTACACACACCAACACACAGATGCACCATCATACATACACAAAGGTTCTGACACTCCAGCAATCACCAGCACATGCACCACCATTTTCCAACACACACACACCAACACAAACTACAAGATTTGACGATCGCACAGAGACTTAAGACTACATTAGAAAAGACTACTTTGGCAAAGACTACTTTAGTCCAGTTTCTCCCAATGATTTAGATGTCATGAACCCTAATCCTGATACCTTGAACTAAGGAATGATATTCTTGGCCTTGGAGACGATTATGAAGCTGCCTATTTTTTACCGGTTAAATCTGTCATTTTCATTTTGTAGTTTCAATTATAGTGTTGTGTCAATGTAAGTCAGGTTGTGTCAATGTAAGTCAGGTTGTGTCAATGTAAGTCAGGTTGTGTCAATGTAAGTCAGGTTGTGTCAATGTAAGTCAGGTTGTGTCAATGTAAGTCAGGTTGTGTCAATGTAAGTCAGGTTGTGTCAATGTAAGTCAGGTTGTGTCAATGTAAGTCAGGTTGTGTCAATGTAAGTCAGGTTGTGTCAATGTAAGTCAGGTTGTGTCAATGTAAGTCAGGTTGTGTCCAGATTTTTGCGACGGCGTAACAGTAACACTAGGAAATCTACCGACCAATCTGATGCAGTTACGGCCACTTTTGATCTCGTGTCTCCAAGTACCACGCCCGGCGAGGAAGGTACTGTGGAATTGCAGGTCATTGAGGTGACCCCCGGCTCATTAGATCGCTGTGAGAATCCACTTGTTTGTCAGCTTACCATAAGATTGCTCGCTTACCTGTAGTAACGGTGTCCTTTGTTGTTGACCCGTCGAGGCCCACTAAAGCCCTGTATCTGCCATCATAACTAGTCTTTGAACGAGATAGGCAGAGCGCTGCAGCGAGATAGGCAGAGTGCTGCAGCTAGACAGATTGGATTCCAATTGTTTTGGGAAATCTTGTTATACACCCAATCACGTGACGTCATGAGATGGGCGATAATGCAGTGGTTTGTAGAGTGTCCAGTGTTGGTCGCCATCAGACAGGTTAGTTGACCCTCCCCTTCCCCCCCCCCCCCCCCCCNCCCCCCCGAGGCTCTGTGTAATGCTTAATAATCAGCCGCCGCCTCACATCTCGCTCTGTGTTTTTGTCGTTTGTTTGTAGTGTTGTGCTCCTAGTCATCGTGTCAGTCGGAACGATGTCACTTCCTGTTGTGTTGTTCCGAGCTGGCGAGAAGTGGAGGATGTTTTTTGGTTGAACTGAGTTTAGTAACAGTGTGTGTGGTTGGTGGGTGGGGGGGGTTTTCCGGGGGTGCGGGCGGAGTAGGGGGGGGCGATTTCCCGGGGTGGAGGGCGAAAACCGTTTTATAGTTGCCTGCTTTAGGTTGTTGGAATCCGCTTGGGAGAAGCAACCACCTTAAGTCGGAGAATCACCTGCCCTGGTGTCAATCATGTTCAGCTGTGAACTGAAATATGTTCTATCCGATCAGCATGTTGGCATCTTTCGCCTTTTTATTTATTTTTTTTTTGGCACTTCGTGTCATCTGTTCTCACGTCCTTCAATCGTTGAGATAAGCACAAGGGCTGACTGACTATCTGTTAGATTTACACAGGAGAGCTAGGAAGAGTTATCTCTGTGAATTTACCTAGAAGAGTAAGAGCTTCGGGAATAACCTAGATTAAGCTGATCCCACTGTTCCTGATCATTTTTATCTTATCTTTCCATGGTAAGGTTGTTGTCTAACAACACTCGTCTGTGTCTCGGCTCACACGCGTGTCTTGTGGCGCTGTCTCGGGGCGGTTATCATGTTTAGGTCCCTCTCGTTTCCCACAATACTAACAGCTGTGAAACAGTAGCCCTATTATGTGTGAGGGCCAAGTGCAACAGTAGGCCTATTATGTGTGTGGGCCAAGTGAAACAGTAGACCTGTTATGTGTGTGGGCCACGTGAAACAGTATCCCTATTATGTGTGGGCCAAGTGAAACAGTGTGCTTGTTATGTGTGCGGGCCAAGTGAACAGTAGGCCTGTTATGTGTGTGGGCCAAGTGAAACAGTTGGCCCATTATGTGTGTGGGCCAAGTGAAACAGTAGGCCTGTTATGTGTGTGGGCCAAGTGAAATAGTAGGCCTATTGTGTGTGGGCCAAGTGAAACAGCAGGCCTATTATGTGTGTGGGCCAAGTGAAACAGTAGGCCTATTATGTGTGTGGGCCAAGTGAAACAGTAGGCCTGTTATGTGTGTGGGCCAAGTGAAACAGTAGGCCTATTATGTGTGTGGGCCAAGTTATTGCTAGTATCGTACTGACAAGAAATCGCTACTTGGTACTAATATACTAATATGACATGACGGGAAGGGGCGGTGAAAACTGTAGACTACAACAGCCCCCCCCCTTTTCCCACCACACACACCTTTTCTCCCTCTAACCGACTTGAACTTCATTAAAAACCTCCACGTTTCAAATTGGATATTTTCTTTGCCAAACATCAACATTCTAAAAATAGATTTGTTTAGATTGATTCCATTATGTACGGTGATCTTTCCATCAATGTTTGTGTTTATCGTCTGTAACATGCGCACTAACCGAAGTGAGCTAGAACCTGCCCCAAACAATGACAAGCATGTCAACAAAACACCACGTTCAACTCTTCGGCCAGCCTCGTGCTCAAGTATTTGTTTCGAATAAAACGACTGCTCGGTTGAAAATATCTATAATCTATATCCTATATTTAATGGGTTTTTTAGAAAGATTTTATGTAAAATCTCATCAGACCGCCTGTTTTATTTTGTACCGAAGGATACAGTTAACAAGGCCGCCCAATGTTGCTTCATGGCCAGTTGTTTCGCGGTCAGTCATTTGGGGGCTGGTTTGTTGGCTGTTGACCGAGCAGTTGTTGTCTGATCGGTTGGACCAACGACGCTCTTATCGTTCAACTGCCTGCACAGATTAACTTCTCGCGCCTCCGGGGCTCTGTTTTATCGCCCTCGACAAAGGGAGGGGTAAGACCTGCTTGGACTCGTTACGGACCACGGTTATCTGATGATGTTATTCAGAGTTATCCTAATTCTTGCCCCCCCCCCTTTTCCCCGCCTCGACCACGCCGCGGGCTATGATGATCCAAAACACAGTTTAATGACACTCTGCTCTCAGTCTCTAGTGCAGGGGTCGGGAACCTATGGCTCGCGAGCCAGATGTGGCTCTTTTGATGGCTGCGTCTGGCTCGCAGACAAATGTTGGATTATTTATAAAATAAAAAAAAAGTTGCATTAATGGTAAGAAATACTCATTATTGATTAGCAACAGCATCACAATGTTATTAAACAGAATTCAGAGACATAATTATTGCATTTTTAGTGTTGAAATTACACAAAATGCACACATTTACTTGAATTTTTAGTTTTAAACATAATGTATGGCTCTCACAGAATTACTTTTCAAAATATATGGTGTCCATGGCTCTCTCAGACAAAAAGGTTCCCGACCCCTGCTCTAGTGGTATCTTCAGTCTGACTTGCTGGTTTTACTCACGCCACAGTCTCTCCTTATAAACACGCATTCAGCTTGGTGTACAGCATTGTTTCTACCATTTTTAGTATTTTAAAAAACGTGGGGGAAATCTCACAAAAATAATTTATATAAACAGATTCCCACCCCCCCCCCCAAGTTTAACGTATTCAAAGAGTCAAATCCTAACTAACCAAAAACACACACACACAATTTTTAGTTATTTAAAAAAAGTGGGGGAAATTCCACAAAAAAAATTTATATAAACAGGTTCCCCCCCCCCCCCCCCCAATTATATATTTTCTATCCATGTCTTTCTCGTCGAGATCTAGTATTAATAGACCTCGAAAGTTTGTCTACGGGTCTTGAGAGCCGAATCAGAGTTTCTGTCAAACCACACGAACTCCGCTCCTTTGGGACAAGCCCCAGCATTTGCGCCTGTAGCATAGGTCGAGAGGGTCCCTGTCCAACCCCACCCCACCCTAAACCTTGAAATTAACAAATTATTAACTTGTTTTTTTTAGAAGAACAAAAAATCACGCATTTTGAATGACAAGTGAAATTCACCATTGATAAGGATTTATGCACCTCTCATTCGTGTCGGTTAAACGTAGGGCAAAAACATATACGGTTTGGCATTTCCTTTTTCCATTAACACTTAAATTATGCCTTATAATTATTTGACACCCCTCCCTGCAAAAATTCCTCCTGGGGCGCCCATGACCTCTAGCGCCACTTGCACGCCCCTAGAAAATGATTTGAGTCGACCATATAACCCCCCCTCCCCAGTTCCCAGTCTAATCCAATAGTTTTTGTCTCTGTCTAACAAACTATCACAAAATCTTACAACAGGATGGATATCTTTTGACCCTAGCACTCTTACAACACACCCCAGTATCTCTTGTCCCGTTGTTTAACACAATACCCCCAACAATCGTGTGTGCCCCTAACTTTCATTAGCTTCTAGACACAAATGGTAGATGAACATTTTTTTCCCGTGCGAGGAATTCAGTCATTAAAAATCCGTTAAGAGCCGTTGATCTGATCTCTCCGGTGTTATCAAACCCCCCCCCCCCCCCCCCCCCCCCCCCCCCCGGGAGTATAGGGATTGCAATGGGAAATAGATTAGACAATTGGGAGGCCATCGAGTGGCGGGTGAGTCAGGGTTTTGCAAGGAAACACACAAAAACTTGAGTCAATTATTGTCTTGTGTGCAGTCACAGTTTTGGTTTCAAAGTGGGCGGAGTTTAAAACCATGACGTTATATAAGTCAATGGTTTTTAAGGGTACCGTGGGCGGAGTTTTGTATCGACGATTTTTTTTCAGTTGGCGACCTTCGTGTACAAGTGGAAGGCGTCATGTAAGTATAGGGGAGGCAATCGTCGTAGATTGTTATCTCCTCTAAAGTGAACCAGAGACCAGGCTTGATTGGGTGGTAGACGGTTTCAAGCTTATCGGTTATCGGGAGGACGAAACTGTTCATCGAAGTGCAGCACTCAACCCGGGCGTCATTCGGGACTTTCGTTGGGAGTCACCGAGCAGAGGAGATCATTGAAAGCTTGGGAGTCACGGAACTTAAGGCGAATCACAACAGGCGGACGGCTGGACTCCCACGGGCCTTTCTCAGCATCAGATGGAGGACTTCGCGTTGTATCAGACCTGGAATACAAGTGTTCGATAACCCGCTTTGACTTTCGTTTCGGTGAATCTATTTATAGACGTTGATGCGCCGCTCACCCCCGGTGCTTTCACTAGGTTTCAAATGGTAGCACACATCAGTGATGTCAAAATGAAATTCCTGGAAGAGAGGCCGAGCTGCAGGTTCGCGTATCCGGGCATTCCCGGCAGGGAGTGTGTGGTGAGTGAGACGTATCACATGGAGCAGTACGTGGCGGTGTCCCACCGGACGCAGGAGTTCGCCGCCGCCAACTACCACGACTCCATTCTCAACAGTTCCAATCTCTACGCCCTGGTTGAGGGGCTCCCCAGCTGGCGTCTTTGTGGTAGGTGTTCACTTGATGTAGGCAGAGGCGTAAAGATCGGTTGTAAGGTTATGCCGCAACCTAAAAAAAAAAATCAAATGAAATTAAATTAAATACATCACTATGAATAATATTATTTTATGATTATAAAGACTCACAAAGCAGTATACAATTTAGAAGTTAACGTAATCAGCAGAGGAATCTATAAATTATGTCTTGTATTTACCACACATTTTCTTTTAGTTCATAAATTGATCCATATAAAATAATCTCTAACTGTTGGTTAATATGGTTCATATTGAAGCTTTTAAGCAATTAAGTCTTCATCGCAATGACTGGGGTCCTACTAGCAACAAGAAACTAATTAAGTCATGATCGCGATGACTCGGGGTCCTACCACCGTCAAGAAACATGCACCTGCTCCTGGTTAAGAACCCGGGGTCCATGTTAATCTGGGTCGTTGTCCTAGTTATGCGCTCGGTGTCCTAGTAACGTTAGCAGGGTGCATGTAAAGACTTTTCTCTAACTATGAACTCGGTGTCCTAGTAACGTTTGCAGGGTGCATGTAAAGAATTTTCTCTAACTATGCTCTCGGTGTCCTAGTAACGTTTGCAGGGTGCATGTAAAGACTTTTCTCTAACTATGAACTCGGTGTCCTAGTAACGTTTGCAGGGTGCATGTAAAGACTTTTCTCTAACTATGAACTCGGTGTCCTAGTAACGTTTGCAGGGTGCATGTAAAGACTTTTCTCTAACTATGAACTCGGTGTCCTAGTAACGTTTGCAGGGTGCATGTAAAGACTTTTCTCTAACTATGAACTCGGTGTCCTAGTAACGTTTGCAGGGTGCATGTAAAGACTTTTCTCTAACTATGAACTCGGTGTCCTAGTAACGTTTGCAGGGTGCATGTAAAGACTTTTCTCTAACTATGAACTCGGTGTCCTAGTAACGTTTGCAGGGTGCATGTAAAGAATTTTCTCTAACTATGCTCTCGGTGTCCTAGTAACGTTTGCAGGGTGCATGTAAAGACTTTTCTCTAACTATGAACTCGGTGTCCTAGTAACGTTTGCAGGGTGCATGTAAAGAATTTTCTCTAACTATGCTCTCGGTGTCCTAGTAACGTTTGCAGGGTGCATGTAAAGACTTTTCTCTAACTATGAACTCGGTGTCCTAGTAACGTTTGCAGGGTGCATGTAAAGACTTTTCTCTAACTATGAACTCGGTGTCCTAGTAACGTTTGCAGGGTGCATGTAAAGACTTTTCTCTAACTATGAACTCGGTGTCCTAGTAACGTTTGCAGGGTGCATGTAAAGACTTTTCTCTAACTATGAACTCGGTGTCCTAGTAACGTTTGCAGGGTGCATGTAAAGAATTTTCTCTAACTATGCTCTCGGTGTCCTAGTAACGTTTGCAGGGTGCATGTAAAGACTTTTCTCTAACTATGCGCTCGGTGTCCTAGTAACGTTTGCAGGGTGCATGTAAAGAATTTTCTCTAACTATGCTCTCGGTGTCCTAGTAACGTTTGCAGGGTGCATGCAAAGACTTTTCTCTAATTATGCACTCGGGGGTATTAGTAACATGTCTAGGGCCTTAAAGATATATGGGGCGCCAGTAATGTCTCTTGGGTCCTATTAGCGTGTCTTAAATCCTAGTATCGTTTATTGGGGGCGTGGTAACTTGTCTTGGGCCATAATAATGTGTCTTGAGTCCTAGTTACTAGTAGCGTGTCTTAGATCCTAGTAATGTTTATTGTGGTCTAGTAACATGTCTTGGGCCATAATAATGTGTCTGGAATCCTTGTAAGAAATACACAATGCAGGCTAGAGAAAAACCTTAAAAATCATTTTGAGTTAAAAAGTTCACTTAAGTTTGGAGAAAGCTTATTTCCATTCCGTCCCTTTTTTTCCCCACGTGTTCATTTCTTCTGTAACTAAATCCATCCCCTAGTCGTCGCAGTGTCAAAAAACTAACATTTACAGAAACTCTCCTTTAAAATAGGTTCTTGTTTTAGAGAAGACTCGTCTGAATAAGTTTGTATCGTGCTGTATCTCAGGGGGAAATGGCGTCTTATTGCAATTATGTCATCAGCGCTCAGACCCAGTGGCCATTGGGGCATGTGTGCCTTTCGGCCTTATTCCATTTATTTGAAAGCGCACGTTGAGCTTGGGATCGAATGACTTATTTTGAGACGCAGAGTCACATAGTCGTAGATTCACTGACGCAGAACTAGGCACACATTTAAAGACAGGGATTCACGGCCACAGACTCACATCCCTTAGATTAGAATAGGATTTTCACCAATACTCCCCGGAAGATAGTTAAATGGAGGTGTTTTAGATAATGTGCTAAAACTGTGCTCCATTTAGACAGTTAAAAGGAGTGTTTGACATAATGTGCTAAAACTGCTCCATTTAGACAGTTAAAAGGAGTGTTTGACATAATGTGCTAAAACTGTGCTCCATTTAGATAGTTAAATGGAGTGTTTGACATAATGTGCTAAAACTGTGCTCCATTTAGACAGTTAAAAGGAGTGTTTGACATAATGTGCTAAAACTGCTCCATTTAGACAGTTAAAAGGAGTGTTTGACATAATGTGCTAAAACTGTGCTCCATTTAGATAGTTAAATGGAGTGTTTGACATAATGTGCTAAAACTGTGCTCCATTTAGACAGTTAAAAGGAGTGTTTGACATAATGTGCTAAAACTGCTCCATTTAGACAGTTAAAAGGAGTGTTTGACATAATGTGCTAAAACTGTGCTCCATTTAGATAGTTAAATGGAGTGTTTGACATAATGTGCTAAAACTGTGCTCCATTTAGATAGTTAAATGGAGTGTTTGACATAATGTGCTAAAACTGTGCTCCATTTAGATAGTTAAATGGAGTGTTTGACATAATGTGCTAAAACTGTGCTCCATTTAGATAGTTAAATGGAGTGTTTGACATAATGTGCTAAAACTGTGCTCCATTTAGATAGTTAAATGGAGTGTTTGACATAATGTGCTAAAACTGTGCTCCATTTAGATAGTTAAATGGAGTGTTTGACATAATGTGCTAAAACTGTGCTCCATTTATTTTGCCCAAAATCTCAAACATATCTTAAAATAATGCTAAAAGTGCCTAACCCCAGCCTCGTGCAATGTGCATACATTCACATGAACTTCACACTCAAAGTATTTTAGTAGGCCTTTAAGGGTTTTTTTGGTGGGTTTTTTTGTTTTTTTGTTTTTTGTTGTTTTTTTAAATTTTTACTAAAATCGTATTTTTAAAACAGCTTTACAATCAGCAATTTCTTTCTTTTAAAGTTTTTTTTAAGAAGAAAAGATTTTATTCTATATCATCCATAATAATTATTAACTTTTATATTGAAATGAGTGATCCGGCTGTCATAAATATTGTATAGCTACTAAATTGACAGGAGCCCCCTCACCCCTCCCCCAACCACACGGACACAAGCTCTTCTAATCGGACCCTATCACCCAAAACTTTTTTTTTTAATTGCTCTAATTTATTTCTGTTGTTTCTGTCAAATTGTGCTCTTGATTTTTTTGTTATCTACTCATATAAATATTCCGCACTTTGCCAGCATGAACAAATGTTGTCTTGTTTGCCAGAATGAACAAATGTTGTCTTGTTTGCCAGCATGAACAAATGTTGTCTTGTTTGCCAGCATGAACAAATGTTGTCTTGTTTGCCAGCATGAACAAATGTTGTCTTGTTTGCCAGCATGAACAAATGTTGTCTTGTTTGCCAGCATGAACAAATGTTGTCTTGTTTGCCAGCATGAACAAATGTAGCATGAACAAATGTTGTCTTGTTTGCCAGCATGAACAAATGTTGTCTTGTTTGCCAGCATGAACAAATGTTGTCTTGTTTGCCAGCATGAACAAATGTTGTCTTGTTTGCCAGCATGAACAAATGTTGTCTTGTTGGCCTATTTTTGGCTGGTGGTTTTTGTTAGTCTGCATAGTTGAGAGGGAAACCAAATAGTATCTCACTACACCATAGTCACCCTTGTGAGCACAATATCGAGATCTATATATCTGAGGGGGGACTCCCCACCCCCCAACCCATCTCAGCTACTAGGATACGTAAGGACCTCCCATATCACAAATAGGCCCACTTCATTTTAGTATAGGATTTGTTTATGTGGAAGTTCTGTTCTCGGCGTTAATATCCAACACACTTTTATTGAAAATTGTTTTTTTTTTTTAGATTTCGTTAGTACACATGTTTAATCAAATAGATTATGTCAATAGTAATGGGAAATCGGGCTTTTAGGCTCACTCTTGGACAGGCAGGAGAAGGACGGGCGGACAGTATGGATTTTTTAAATGGATTAAATGAATTAATTCGTAAATGCATCAGTGTGGCGCAAAGCGCTTGTAAATGAACACTTCCAGAAACTTGCTACTAGCTAGGCAGTCGTCAGATAACCATTTGATAAGTCAGTCGCCGAAACGTTTTGAATAGGATACCGCAGTCCAGCGTCGTGTCGTCCCGCTCTGCATGCGTAGAGACGTCGTCGTCCCTCGGGGTCCTGCTGTCCATCAAGTCAGACAAGTGGTAGGCGGTACACGTAGACTTGGCAAGCGATGATTCACTTCGGAACGCGTAGGATAATTTGGAAGAACCTCCGCTACAAAAGCCCACTTGTTGGTCTCTAAGTGAGTGTGTCACAACTTGTCGGAGGGGGGGGGTGGGGGGGGCTGGAATTTCCATGTTAACATCCACTCACAGCGCTGCCTCTACTCGGGGAAACCCACTTACTGAACTATCATCTCTTTATGGTGGGTGAGTGCAATCTTCTTAGAGCCGAGTCACTCGACAATACTTTCTTGGTCCGTCAACTTTAGAGAAAATATATATATATATTATTTTGAAACACGGCGTGTGCCAGCCAGGGTCAAGGTCAAGTTTCGTTTTATGATTTTTTTTTTTATTGTGTCTGAAGTGATTAGGTGTAAAAGAACAACCGTGGAATGTTAAGTTTGAGCTTCCTCTAACTTGTTCATCAAGCCACGTGCAACGTTTCTGGTCATCAAGACAAGAGACAGACGATCTCCCTTACCAAATAGAAAATAATCTTTTCTTGGTTTTTCTCTCCCTCTCTGTCGACCCTCGCACCTGTCACTATTCAAATCCTCCCTGTCACTATTCAGACCCTGCCTGTCACTATTCAAACCCTACCTGTCACTATTCAGACCCAGCCTGTCACTATTCAAATCCTGCCTGTCACTATTCAGACCCTGGCTGTCACTATTCAAATCCTGCCTGTCACTATTCAGACCCTACCTGTCACTATTCAAACCCTGCCTGTCACTATTCAAACCCTACCTGTCACTATTCAAACCCTGCCTGTCACTATTTAAAGCCCGGCCTGTCACTATTCAAATCCTGGCTGTCACTATTTAAACCCTGCCTGTCGCAGATTCTTCAGCTGGAACGAGGACAAGACTGTAAAATAGCGCTTACCAAACTGTCAAGTTTGCGACACACTTTTTAGCTGTTCATGTTTGCGACACACTTTATAGCTGTTCATGTTTGCGACACACTTTATAGCTGTTCATCAGGTTCATGACACACTTGATAACTCTTCATCATGTTAGAGACATACTTTAAAGCTGTTGATCACGTTCGAGACACACTTTAAAGCTGTTGATCATGTTCGAGACACACTTTAAAGCTGTTGATCATGTTCGAGACACAATAAGTTAGTGAGTTTTACAAGCATACTGGGGGTTTATCTAAAGTTGACTAAACCATTTTTTTTAACATCCGGGTAAAAGTACATTAGTGCAATAACACAATCTATGCTGTTACAACATATGTCATGAAAACCTTTCATTTCTATTTTTAACATCTCTGTGTAACAACGTTTTCTATTTTTAACATCTCTGTGTAACAACGTACATTTCTAAGGTGTCTGTGATACCCTAATTACCCTGTGGGTAAATCTGTGCAAGATTTTAAAAACTCCCGATGAAAAAAAAATTTCTACAACTCAGTGTCTAATAATGATAGATATAGCCCGCCAGACATTGGCGACAGCAATGCGTGAACGTCCCATCTACTAAAGTTACTTGACAAAACACGAACTCAAGTAACGCACATTTAAGAATCCCAATGTTTGCTACACCCCTTCCCCCATGATACGTCACTGCACACTTTTTATTTCACGCTCATGAACTATATTAATATTCTCATGTCACAACCACTTTTAAACCGAATATTATTTACACAATACTTAAATTGAGACGATTTCATTTCCGAAAAGAAAATATTACGCACCAACACAAGTGCGTTATTTTTCAAAAAAATACATATATCATATATACCGTAGTTATCGGGAATTATATCTTACGCGTTAGTGAACTCATTGAACCAAACTCTGGCTATCTATAAATAGCCTGCGTGGTGTTTGACCCGTCTTGTTTGACCTTTGCTGGCGAATTATATATATAGAGATTACCTTCTTGAAAACTTCCAACTGTGTTTTTTTGCCAAAGGAGTTTCAATTTGCATGTATATTTAGGTTAATTTGTTAGGCACAATACTTTCATTGGAATTTATATTTATGTTAATTTGTTAGGTACAATACTTTCATTGGAATTTATATTTAGGTTAATTTGTTAGGTACAATGCTTACATTTGCATTTATATTATGTTTAATTTGTTAGGTACAATGCTTTCAGTGGAATTTATATTAAGGTTAATTTGTTAGGTACAATGCTTTCAGTGGAATTTATATTAAGGTTAATTTGTTAGGTACAATGCTTTCAGTGGAATTTATATTAAGGTTAATTTGTTAGGTACAATACTTTCATTGGAATTTATATTTAGGTTAATTTGTTAGGTACAATACTTACATTTGCATTTATATTAAGTTTAATTTGTTAGGTACAAAGCTTACATTTGCATCTATATTATGTTTAATTTGTTAGGTACAATGCTTTCAGTGGAATTTATATTAAGGTTAATTTGTTAGGTACAATGCTTTCAGTGGAATTTATATTAAGGTTAATTTGTTAGGTACAATGCTTTCAGTGAAATTTATATTTAGATTAATTTTTTAGGTGCAATGCTTTCAGTGGAATTTATATTAAGGTTAATTTGTTAGGTACAATGCTTTCAGTGGAATTTATATTAAGGTTAATGTGTTAGGTACAATGCTTACATTTGCATCTATATTATGTTTAATTTGTTAGGTACAATGCTTTCAGTGGAATTTATATTAAGGTTAGTTTGTTAGGTACAATGCTTTCAGTGGAATTTATATTAAGGTTAATTTGTTAGGTACAATGCTTTCAGTGAAATTTATATTTAGATTAATTTTTTAGGTGCAATGCTTTCAGTGGAATTTATATTAAGGTTAATTTGTTAGGTACAATGCTTTCAGTGGAATTTATATTAAGGTTAATGTGTTAGGTACAATGCTTTCAGTGGAATTTATATTAAGGTTAATTTGTTAGGTACAATGCTTACATTTGCATTTATATTAAGGTTAATTTGTTAGGTACAATACTTACATTTGCATTTATATTAAGTTTAATTTGTTAGGTACAAAGCTTACATTTGCATCTATATTATGTTTAATTTGTTAGGTACAATGCTTTCAGTCGAATTTATATTAAGGTTAATTTGTTAGGTACAATGCTTTCAGTGGAATTTATATTAAGGTTAATTTGTTAGGTACAACGCTTTCAGTGGAATTTATATTTAGGTTAATTTTTTGGTACAATGCTTTCATTGGAATTTATATTAAGGTTAATTTTTTGGTACAATGCTTTCAGTGGAACTTATATTAAGGTTAATTTGTTAGGTACAAAGCTTACATTTGCATCTATATTATGTTTAATTTGTTAGGTACAATGCTTTCAGTGGAATTTATATTAAGGTTAATTTGTTAGGTACAATGCTTTCAGTGGAATTTATATTAAGGTTAATTTGTTAGGTACAATGCTTTCAGTGGAATTTATATTAAGGTTAGTTTGTTAGGTACAATGCTTTTAGTGGAATTTATATTAAGGTTAATTTGTTAGGTACAATGCTTTCAGTGGAATTTATATTTAGATTAATTTTTTAGGTACAATGCTTTCAGTGGAATTTATATTAAGGTTAATTTGTTAGGTACAATGCTTTCAGTGGAATTTATATTAAGGTTAATTTGTTAGGTACAATGCTTTCAGTGGAATTTATATTAAGGTTAATTTGTTAGGTACAATGCTTTCAGTGGAATTTATATTTAGGTTAATTTGTTAGGTACAATGCTTTCAGTGGAATTTATATTAAGGTTAATTTGTTAGGTACAATGCTTTCAGTGGAATTTATATTAAGGTTAATTTGTTAGGTACAATGCTTTTATTTGCATTTATATTTCAGCAAACTAAACAAATTTCGACCAGGATTGTTTTTACAACAGAAAATATGAAATATAAACAAAACTTGAACCGATTCTTGTTACACTTCTTTCCTAATAGTACAGACAGTTGAACATTTGGAGCTTGTGTAGTTTCCTCTTATCTATTGCAACTACATTTTTTTCATCGAAAAACTTTCCAGGATTTCTTTTCTTCATTACAGACATACCTGTCCTACGTGTAATGCAACACCTCTTGATGAATTAACTGCATTTTTTTTTTTAAGTTAATTTTTTAAAATATATCTGAACAATATCTTTGCAACAACTCTGAGGATCACTATCAGAAAATCCAACTTTGCGTTCAGAGAGAAGCCGGGGAAATGTGTGCCAAATTAAATATTCAGATAGTGTGATACCAATCCGGAATGAATGACTTCAAAACATTTTGAAATGAAATGCCAAAATTTGAGGTTTACAATTAAAAGAATCTGGCCATTAAAAGGCTGTACCGGCAACTGGTAATATATATTTCTAAAGGAAAGACAGCATAACCTTGCACGATCCATATGTCTGTTTGACTGCTTTGATGTAAAAAAATGTGTGAATGTTGCTATGGTTTATTTTCACTCGACACCTACACCCTTCCTTGATACACACCACTGTGGCTGGACACAGAGATTGGAAAGGTCTACTATAAGAGAACTAACAAATATTACTGCTCCATGACCCTGCTAATAACACATTATTTTAGCACAGCAACATAAAATATTGTGAAAAGTAAAGTGTTTCTTTATCTCAATATAATAGATGATAATATGTACCTTTGAGCTTACCATCTTACCTATTTGATAAATACCAATAAGTCTCTTAGCATTTAAAGTCTCGTCTATTTGATAAATGTCAATATGCCTCTTTGCAGTTAATGTCTTGTCTATTTGATGAAGGGCATAAAAAACAACTCCTTTTAATTCTTCCCAGAATCCCCTGATGCAGATGCACAAAACTTTGCTTACGGTCAAGCCAGTGGGAGGTCCCAGTCATCCCAGACCCAGGTTGGTTCACAGGAATGCGCCATCTGTCGGGACAAATCGACGGGCAAGCACTATGGTGCCTTCAGCTGTGATGGCTGCAAGGGCTTCTTTAGACGAAGTGTCAGGAGGAACCATGTGTATGCGTGCAGATTTCACAGAAACTGTGTCGTGGACAAGGACAAACGTAACCAGTGCCGATATTGTCGTCTGAGAAAATGTTTCAGAGCCGGCATGAAAAAGGAAGGTGAGAAATAGTTTAATGTAACAGGTGAACTCCATTGACCAGTAAGACGATGTTACAATTTGCCAGAGGGTGCACACTTTTAAATGGGTGCAAAATTTCAAAAGATACATAATAAGATTTGAATACTGGGTGGAAAAGACTCAGCAGTTGTGACAGGTCCACTAATTAGGATGCCCAATAGGTCAGCACCAATGGTGTGAAAGATCCACCAATTAGGATGCCCAATATGTCGGCATCAATGGTGTGAAAGGTCCACCAATTAGGATGCCCAATAGGTCAGCACCAATGGTGTGAAAGGTCCACCAATTAGGATGCCCAATAGGTCAGCACCAATGATGTGAAAGGTCAGCAAATTAGGATGCCCAATAGGTCAGCACCAATGGTGTGAAAGGTCCACCAATTAGGATGCCCAATAGGCCAGCACCAATGGTGTGAAAGGTCCACCAATTAGGATGCCCAATAGGCCAGCACCAATGGTGTGAAAGGTCCACCAATTAGGATGCCCAATAGGTCAGCACCAATGGTGTGAAAGGTCCACCAATTAGGATGCCCAATAGATCAGCACCAATGGTGTGAAAGGTCCACAAATTAGGATGCCCAATAGGTCAGCACCAATGGTGTGAAAGGTCCACCAATTAGGATGCCCAATAGGTCAGCACCAATGGTGTGAAAGGTCCACCAATTAGGATGCCCAATAGGTCAGTACCAATGGTGTGAAAGGTCCACCAATTAGGATGCCCAATAGGTCAGCCCCAATGCATTTTGACACAATTACCGAAAGTTTTAAAGGTTAATTATTAAAATGCTAGAATTTAAATAAAAGTAAACATCTTTTGATGAACAAGAAAATAAATGAATAATATTCCAGCAAAGGGCTTGGTTAAGAGAAAATGAAAGAAGAAAATGTGTGTTTCATTTGTAGATTTAGTTCCTGTGCTGCTTGCTGAATTTATTGAGTGCATCCTGTCCAAATATCAACTGTTTGGGATCAACTAAGGGATCTATTGCAGATATAACATATTTGTGTGGCATGATCTATGACATGGAATTTATCACTTTGGTGGTATTTAAAAAATTACTTAGTAAGTATTCTTAAACACCTCAAAAGACTTTAATTTTTTAGATGAATGTAGGTAATATTTAATCTTGCCTGTTCCAGCTGTCCAGAATGAGAGAGACAGAATCAGTGTGAGGAGGACCAGTTACGAAGATGTCACACAAAGTAATTCTTTGTCAGTCAGCACTCTGCTCAATGCTGAGACAGTGTCACGGCAACAGGTGCGTGAGTAGACTCTAAATCACCCCTTCCCAGTGGGCTACTGTGGTTGACTTTGTACATCACCCCTTCCCAGTGGGCTACTGTGGTTGACTTTGTACCGTGCTTCAAGCTTTTGGGGATGAAGTGTGTTTTTCAAATAAACTTTATTATTATTATTGTTATTACTTTAACTAAATGCTACCCGGGGCGAACTCCGAAAATTATCTGTATTCACAGTATAGCAGTGCTTCTAATACAAGTATGAGGCATTATTAATTTTAATGTTAAATATAATGCCAAAAAGAGTTCATTACTTTGCAAGTATGAAAAAACTTCTCAGCTTCAGCTCAAAGCCTCAAACATGAACAATCTCAAAGTATAATTAAAGTCTATAATATTTTTCATTACATTTTTTTTTTTTATTTTATGGGCGTCTACTGAAGAGGATTGATATGTAATGGTTGGAGGAGTGGTGTGGAATTATTAAAAATGAGAAAGTGTTTATGATGGTGGCTCACCTGTACTTCTCATCTTTTTGCTCAGGGTGTAACAGCATTAAAAAAATCATTTCTTTTTCTAATGGTTGAAGACAGGGACTTGTTAAAAATAATGTTACTACAACGTTCCTTGTTGAGAAATTTTTCAACAATGCACGATAAGCGTTCGTGGTAAAAAAAAAAAATTGTGTTTAGGTTTGGTCTGAGTGGAAGGAAGTAGCGAGGCAGGCCAAAGCCCTACATGGGCTGTAGCGCCACAGGGATGGATGGATGATGAATTTTTACCCTGCAAGTAATTTATTAAGAAACTATTGACAATAAAAATGGCATCCAGCTCAGCCCCCTTATCAAACTTCTGCTTAGAACTGACCACTTGTTAACTGCATTGGGGCAAATGCAGATTGATTTACAGATGTCGCAACAGTTGATGGGGGATTACAGAAATCGTCGTTCGGCCACTCTGGAAGATGTGGTGGAGTCCATGAAACAACAGTTGCTGGTGCTGGTGGAGTGGGCCAAACTGATTCCATGCTTCAGCGAGCTGCCACTAGATGATCAGGTAGGGCTGTTCACCTCACCATGTTGGTCGCATGTGTGCGCGCAACTATCATGTTATTCATCACACATTGTGCACAAGCCGTATGTTAGAATGCATGTTTGTTACCGGTATGTAAACCTACAAAGTTTTTGCGAACCCAAATGTATGTTGGTGGAAATTTCTTGACAGTATGGTAACTTTAAACAATGTTAATATTTAATTTAAAGATTTGTCTAGAAATAATTTTTAAGATTACATTTCATCAAGTCTTTACAAAGTTTGCCTGGGATGTAGAAGCCCCAAGTCGTTCATCATAACATTCAATTAAAATGCTAGGAACCAGTTCATCTGTCACATCATTGAATAAAATAGAAATGATAATCTGTTTCCCTGTCTCTTGTTCTCAAGGTGGCACTACTCCGGGCCCATGCTGGTGAGCACCTGATATTGGGTGTGGCAAAACGGTCAGTGTCCTTGACTGAGGTATTGTTACTGAGCAACGAATCGATCATCACCAGACAAAATGCAGATCCGGATGTGGGTCACGTGGCAAGTAGAATCCTAGACGAGATTGTTTCACCAATGAGAGAAATCCAAGTGGATGACTCTGAATTTGCCTGTCTCAAAACTTTAGTTTTTTTTGACCCAGGTACTCTTGGTAAAAATTGGATAAAAGTTAGAATGTGTGTTAATTAGTGCATTACTAAATCTGAACAAATTAAATAACTATATAGTGCTACTGCACTAAAAAAAACTATAAACATATCTGTGAACTGCTGATGGTAATCATAACTATAAACTTTATGCATATCTATAGACTGACAATAGCTAAAATTGCAAATTACCACATCTATTAAAAAAACATGTTATTTGACTATAATAATAAACTATTACCATATCTACAAACTGTAACTCTTAACTATAACTATAACTAAACTTATCATAACTATAAACTAAAGTTATGAATCACTACCATAGCCATTAACTATTTACTGCCAACTAAACTATCGCCATATTTATAAACTATAACTAAAATAGAACTTAGCTATTAACATAATCATAATCTATAACTAAAATAGAACTAAGCTATTAACATATTTATAAACTATAACTAAAATAGAACTTAGCTATTAACATATTTATAAACTATAACTAAAATAGAACTAAGCTATTAACATATTCATAAACTATAACTATAATAGAACTAAGCTATTAACATATTCATAAACTATAACTATAATAGAACTAAGCTATTAACATATTCATAAACTATAACTAAAATAGAACTAAGCTATTAACATATTTATAAACTATAACTAAAATAGAAATAAGCTATTAACATATTCATAAAATAGAACTAAAATAGAACTAAGCTATTAATATATTTATTAACTATTGCCATATCTATTAAATATAACTCAAATACAACTAACCTGTCAACATACCTTTGGACTGTAATAATAACTATTGCCATATCCAAAGACTATAGCCAATAGCTCTAACCCCATTTAATGTATTGCATCTTTCAGTGGCCCCAGGTTTAACCAACATTGCCAAGGTTAAACAGTTTCGCTACCAGGTCCAGGTCAACCTTGAAGACTACATCAATGACCGGCAGTACGACAGCCGTGGACGTTTCGGTGAAATCCTTCTGTTGTTGCCATCCCTGCAGAGCATTTGTTGGAAGATGATAGAACAGATCCAGTTTGCCAAGTTGTTTGGTATGGCCAGAATCGACAATCTGTTGCAGGAAATGTTGCTTGGAGGTCAGACCCCATCTGTTTTATCAGCCTATCTTTCTTTAACTTTATGAACTCTCATCAGCCATATGGCTGCTCCTGTGGTGTTATGGCCGATTATTATAATCAGCCTCTACTAAAATTATTATAATGGATGCAGATCAGAAGGTTAACTAGATTGACTTCTTATTTGTAGAAAACTCAGGCAAATATTGCATGTGTTAATTTTATTTTAAATTTTGGATCGAACTGGAGGTTTTGGTTTATTTTAAACGAATGTGTAGCTCTCAGATGTCTGCCCTGCGAATGTGTAGCTCTCAGATGTCTGCCCTGCAAAGCAATAGCCTTATTTATTGGAATTATTTCTTTATGAAATAAATTACTCATGGCAGTGATAGTTACAATAGTAGAGCTAGGTTTAAGAAATTAATTGTTGGCATTACTCATGGCAGTTATAAGAGAGGAAAGTTGTGGAAAATAAGTTACTAATGAATATAATAAGCATTATATAAAGAAATATATAGGTCACCGATGAAGGTACCGGTATTATTTGTTTAAATTTCAATCAACCCAAATAACTTTATATATTCTAAAACTTTAAAAAATAATATTAATAATTTATAGGCCTGATAAACTTATTTAGATGATAAAAGTACCCAACAGTCAGTGTGGGTGTGAGCTGAAGAAAGATCAACAGTAGCACAATTGTAATCAGTTTAATTGTCAATGTCATATTCATTTCACACACCTCGCATAATTCCAGCTTTCACACCACATGATTCCTTGTCAAATTTACCATCAGAATATCTATACTTGTATCTTCTATTGGTCTCTGGATTTATCCTCCATTAGTTTTTGTATTTTAGTGATACATATCAAAGTTACTTTAAAAGAAAGTGTTGACACCACAGCATGTTTGACAGTACAAGGGTTAAATATACCAGCAGGAAATGTTGGGTGATTGTTAGGTTTATATTACCTGGGCCACAGTGAGAGAAATCTGTCATTTTTACATATTATTTATTTCTACTATTTGTCTTTACATATCTGATATTACAATATCTGCTGTTCTTTTTTGCACAGGTTCTAATGCAGCTGAAGCCACTGACCCTGTCAATAATCCAGTGTTGAACAGTCCATCTGGAGCCATCGTCACCTCATCCCCAATGGATGACATGATGGGCATCGGGCCGGCTGGAGAGGCCTTGAACCTGATGGCAGGATCCGCCGGCAATGACTACAGTGACCTGGCCAGCAACCCCAGCCTGGAGGCCAGCCACATCATGCTGAGCTTGGCCGAACAAACACTGTCAAGGACACAACTCATGTCAAATCCAATGGATGGCATGGGTCAAGTCAGCATGTCTTCCATGCTGATCAAGTCTGAACAAATTCACCACATGCAACCCTCTCAGGCCTCCATCATAGTCAGCGACGGCGACGAGTTGTGTGTGGTGGGGGGAGATGAGCTGCGAGTAGGAGCCACCGCCAAATATAAAGGGACAATATCGCAGTCGTCCAGAACCGCTCACTTCAAACAGGAGGCCATTTAAGTTTTTTTTTTTTTTGGAGGTTGCTTGGTTTTGTCAAACCAAGCTGCTTAGTTTATTTTTAGGAGGTACAAGATGTTGTTTTAAAATGTTGGGCTCAAATGTCCTGATGACACTCAGTAAGACCGAGTTACAGCATTATTGTTGTAAGTCTGAACAATAGTATCCAATGCAAGGATAATTTAACTATTGTGACTTTTGAGGAGAAATTTGTCCAGAGGAAAGGTATGGTATTTGAATAATGTTTCCAAATATATTTGTTGGTCAATATTAGCATATAAAACTATGGAACTGACAACAATATCTCATGGAGTATTTGCATGTAGAATTATTTATAATTTGTTTCGTTTTTTTGGGGTTTTTTTAAGTTTGAAAAGTCACATGAAACTGTGATGAGCTGAGCCTGCCATTTATTGTACCCATGAAGATTGTTCATGTCAGTTCATTGAACTGTTTTAACAAACATGCCATTTTTATGCTGCATTGTCTGCTACCTAACACACCGCCATACCATGGCTGTAAATAGAATCAACTCTCACTTCTTCATAATGTCCATTTGATCTTGACACTTTATTTTTTCAAACTGCACATTTTCTTTTTTTTGGGTAGTTTCCATCATAAGAAATTATAAGTATTTATAAGCAATCAAAAGCATATATATGATGAGTGTAATTAAACATGATGAAATTGAAAAAATATAAATCAGACCCTTATATAAATATGTATATAAAATATGTAAGCCAGATATAAAAAAACAAAAGCCTTACATAAGTTGAAACACGTATCAACCTGCTAATGTATTTTTCTAAATCTATTCATACCCTCATGTTAAATGTAATTGAATACCATATTTAGACAAACACATTTTGTACCAGTTTATTGGGGCCTTCCTTCTCTGATTTTAATTTAAAAAATTTTAATATATTCACTGTGTCAACTATTATTGTAACAGTTTAACATGTTAATTTCAGTAGCGCAATCTGTCATCATTCTATACATTGGGCGTTTACCACCACCATTTCATCTAGATAGCAAGTGTCATTCTAACAGTTTAACATGTTAATTTCAGTAGCGCAATCTGTCAACATTCTATCTATACATTGAGTGTTTACCACCATCATTTCATCTAGATAGCAAGTGTAATTTTCCACACAGCTTTGGAAGACTTCAACAATGCATGTCAAATCAAGACATGATTTTACACACAATTTACTTAAAGTAGCATTTAAACACAGAATCCGTTATTACTTTGATATCTCTCAATGTGAATTTAATATCAGTGTGAAAATGAGGCATACAACCTAATGTATGTGTATGTATAAGTATTAAACAACCTTGCCAGAAATGACAGAGTCAAGAGTACTTAACACTGTGACTGCCTCACAAAGTCATCTTCTTATCATTGTTTATTTCATCATTGCTGAATACTCTTCTTTTCCAAAAGTATTTCAGTTTTAAGTAGACTGAACTTGTAAAATAATTGTTCAACTAATAATAAATTGAAATGTTATATTTTATAATACACTTTATTGTATTGAGTAGGATGTTTCAGATTTGTTGATGTATAGACAAGGGGAGTAACCTCTTGTCTTTTAATGTTAAAGCTTTTTCAATGTGATTATCGTGCCTTAATTGAAAACTGCTCAAATTAATGTTAAAATTGCTTCAGCTTATCAACATGGGCCTGTATATGTTCACATTTTCCTTGAAGTAGTCAATTTCAAATCAGTTCCACAATACCTACAGGGGTACGTTACATTCATTAAGACATAAAAGCCAACCTCTAGAAGGCAAGACCTTGCACACAGATGGCCCAAAAACTAAATACCAACAAACAGAACAAACTATGTCCTGATTACACCTAGCCAACAGCTGAGGTGAATTTTATTGTCAATGTCAGACTGTATTTTGGAAAAAATTGGGTTCAGTTGAATATATCGTATTATAAAGTTTATTAAAGAGTGCAAGACAGAATGTAACAGATATTAACTTCACTGCTGTCTGAGTACTGCACTAATTTATCCCAAACCACCAGTTAAAGTAGATCTTGCAATCTCAAGCAGGATCATATAACAATGTCTATAAATATAGGATGTGTGCCAAATACATTCTCACAGCAACTACTCTAAAACTTAACTCACTGTAAGACGTCTGAGTCTTTTTGAAATTATTCCTCCAAATACCAGACATGTTGGCACAAGGAGACACAATTCTGTGGTTTCCATTCTGTGCTATTGCTCACTCATGGTCCAGTCAGACCAAAGGGCTGTAATTATCCAATGTTTCAAAGCTTTGTCGTCATCCAATGTCTCACTGCTTGTTAGCTAAAACTGTTAAAATGTCAGCGTCAGTGCAGCCCTATTGACCAAGTGAATGTTTGCAGGCTTTGATAAAGAGACTGAATATACCTAAGTTGTACACAAAGTATCGGTTACACTTGGCATGCTTGCTAATGAAACTTCACTGGAAATAAAATGTTGTTAATAGTTTTGATGCCTTTTTAACTGAGGGTCACATTTTATATGATCATCTTGCTGGCCAAATGTGTAATTTTTGTGAAATGCTTTAAAATTTGTTCTGTTTTTTTTGTAACACAGATTTTATAGAGGCAAAAATGTATTTTCAACATCTCTCTTTTACTCTTTTGAAAGATTTATGTATATGGCAATAATGGCATTATACATAACTCATTTTCAAATGTTGATTTGCTCATTTCATCTGTCTGTATGCTATTACGGTCTTATAAAACTATTAAAATCTTACAACTGATTTAGTAGATGTGTGACTTGTTTCTCTGGCTTTAACTTTAAAGTGGTCTAGATTGGCCATAATCAATGATCTGTGCTTAATTCCCATAACAGCTGTGAGTTCATATCCTGTTTATTTTAAAGCTGGTTCGTTACTCGTCTACATCATGTGAGACAGACAACCACTCATGGGGAAGTTAAATTATTTTGTATTTTTTAATTAATGATAATACTAACCTTATAAAAATATTTCATTTTTAAAGTTTGTAATGGCATTAGATTTTTAGAAGCAATTTACTTTGAATATTTTCACCCTCTTTTAGAATGTCCCAGTACTGGTATTAGATGGTCTTTTTTTATGGGAGGGGGGGGGGGGGGGGGCTGGGGGAAGGGGGGGGTAGCCGCAAGCTTTTTACCCCAATTTTGTTAGCCATGAATTTCCTTTTATTTACCTTTGTGGAAACTTACCGTTTTGAATGTCCCAGTACTGGTATTAGATGGTCTTTTTTTATGGGAGGGGGGGGGTGGGGGCTGGAGAAAGGGGTGGATAACAGAAAGCTTTATACCACAATTTTGTTAGCCATGAATTTCCTTTTATATACATTTGTGGAAACTTACCGTTTGGGCTACCATCCCTTCTGTGTTCTCTATTTAACATAAGATGAGCTGCAAGTTTCTTGTTAGCATGAACTTAGCTCTAAACTTATTTCTTCTCACTATACAAGCCTCTTTCCAGGCATCTAATCATCTAATTGGAGTGGGGGTTTGCAATGACTGAATCGGTTGTCAGGATGATGTCCGGGTCCACTGGATTATGACAGAATGGGTTGTGTGAATAATGTCTGGGTCCATTGGATTATGACAGAATGAGTTGTCATAATTATGCTTGGGGTCCACTGGATTATGACAGAATGTGTTGTCACAATAATGTCTGGGTCCATTGGATTATGACAGAATGTGTTGTCACAATAATGTCTGGGTCCATTTAATTTAGTGTATTGGAAGCCAACCTGCCACAGGCTGGCATGAGATGTGACATGGATTAACAGTGGCGGGAACTCTATATGATACTAGTGTGCTTGGGATACCCTGACTTTGTACCTGCGTTGTATGTTGTATATCATGTACAGTTCATGTCTAATTCAAAATGTTCAGTCTTTCATTACATTCCCATTATTAATCTCACAAGCGTCGCACTCAATTTTGTTGCCAAGTTTTGTCCAATATTCTTTCACAAACAAGCAGAGCATCATTCTTGTTTTTTTTTATTTTATTCTACTGCATTCATTTTTTTTTAACCTTTGCCCTGTAAGCAGCTATTTGTACTATAAGTGTGTTGTGATCAGATTTTGTTTGTACAATTGTTGTGTGATCAGATAGCTGGTAACACTAGCATGTTTTTTAACAAAATATTGTGTGATCAGATAGCTAGCAATACTGCTACTAGCATGTGTGGGGGTTATGATTTTTTTTTCTTTTTTTTTTTTTTTTGAATATGCAACCATTCCAGATTGACAAATATCCACAGCAGGAAAAAATAATGAAATGGAAATAAATTACAACTGCCCACAGTTTGGTTTTGGATTATTATTTTTTTATTGAGGGGGCAGTCTTTAATTTGTACATTGATAAATGTGTGAAACAGATTTGCTTGAATTTGTAAAATAAAAATTATCACTAAATCTTGTTACTAAGGGAAGTAAAAGTGATGCTTGTCCTGCAAGTGTATGTAAATATCTATATCTAGGAAGAGAGTATGAAGAAAAAAGCTGAAAATTTGCTTTGAGAGTTCAGTTCTTTTCAATAAGAATGGATGATTGTAGATTGAATGAAAGAAAACTTCAAAAACATGTGATTTGAGAATTTTTTATCTACTATATCCACATATACTCTCTTTTTGTAGTCATCAATTGTATACCTGTGACTATATCCTATCTGAATAAAGTGTATAACTACGAGACCATTATATCTAAATATATATGTTGGACAACAATATATGACAAAATACTTGCTTGATGAAACTTATGGCATGCATCCTTTACATTTTATGGCTGATGCCGTGCACACTAGAGTTTCTCTCCAGAGATCCCAGGATCCCACACAATTTTTTTGTGAACAAATGACTTCCCTGGTAATTTTCCATCCCAGGTACACACCTTTAGAATAAAATTTTCTTGTTTTTTGTTTTTTTTTTAAATTTCAGCAAGTGACAGATTGTCACAAATTGTCTCTATGAGCCGGGACTTGTAAAATATAGTTAACTAAGATGATTTAATCAGTTCAATACCTCTAGTCCACAGGTTCTCAAGCGTTATAAAGTCACGACCACATTTATATAAAAGCCAGGTACTTTTACCACTATTTGTTGGGGAAAGGTACCTTTAAAATAAAGGGTAAATTTTTGGAAAGGAAAACATTAAAACTTAAATTTTCCAATATTATGTAATTGTCGACATATTTAATGCCATGATTTAAACTGTAACTCAAGCTTTATGACACCATTTAAAAAAGAAAACTATTTAAAAATGTCAGTTGCTCCAAGTCTATTGGGTCTGCCAGTGTCCCCACATACAATTCCCTCAAAACCAAATGCGAGGTCAACACCCATGGACTGGAAATCTGTGCCTTAGAAAATTGATTATCCCAAGACTTCATGTGTCAAACTACCTTCATAAAACTTTATATTATTTTTTTTTCTCCAAAATCAACATAGCAAGACATATATAAATGCAAATTTATTAACATCCAAACTGTTGTTTTTATTATCTAAAAAGAACCACTTGTTACAAGTTGTTAGAAACATTTTCTTGTAATTATTTTGTGACGGATTTGAAACTGGAATTAGGGACCGTTAAAAGAATGCAAAACTCATAAAGTGTTGCGTTGCTTTTTTTTTCTACAGGAGGTTACATCCAACTTTTGCTTAACAAGCATAGAATTAGCCAGTTAAGCATTACTAGGGTTATGAAGTGGAAAAATTAACCAACCAGTTTCAAGTGAACAACCTCTCAACTGACCTTAACATTGTTTTTTTATTTATTCATATATTAATAGACAGTAACAATTTAAACAACTATAAAACTCAAGTCTTTTATAGTTTAATTCAGTTCATCATATAGTTTTTTTAATTAAATTAATATTATCCGCGGATGAGGTGAACACTGTTTCCTGTTTTCCTGGAATAAGCAAAAACCTGAGATATGAGGAACACTAGTCCATACCAAGTCATCTGATCAAAGGAAGTGGGAAAGTCATTTATTGTTCCTAAATAAGATGTTAGTGCCTGTTATTCTTTCTATGCATCTTTTAAATGGTCATGTTTAGCGCTTACGGTACTGAAATATGTTTTTTTTCCCTTCTTTTTTGAACCATGTACATTTTTTTGTACACTTGTTGAAATTTTTTTTTTTTAAAACAGATTTTACTTTCATGAAGCGTTGTGTTCTCTTTATGTATGTGAACTTGTCCATAATCGTGTTTACATGGGAAATACTATATATAGGATAGATCCATGGTTGAAAGTATGTAGGCCTACATGTTAGATCCATGTTTGAAAATATATAGCCTATAGGATAGATCCAAATTAGAAAATATCTATATGATAGATCCAAAGTAGAAAATATATATATCATAGAACCCAAATAGAAAAAAATCTATATGATAGATCCTATATGATAGATCCATGGTAGAAAATATCTATATGATAGATCCATGGTAGAAAATATCTATATGATAGATCCATAGTTGAAAATATCCAAATGACAAATCCATAGTAGAAAATATCTCCATGGTAGAAAATATTTATATGATAGATCCATGGTAGAAAGTATCCAAGTGATAGATCCATGGTAGAAAATATCTCCATGGCAGAAAATATCTATGTGGTAGAAAATATATATATGATAGAACCAAAGTAGAAAATATCTATATGATAGATCCATGGTAGAAATTATCTATATGATAAATCCATGGTAGAAAATATCTGTATGATAGATCCATGGTAGAAATTATCTATATGATAGATCCATGGTAGAAAATATCTATATGATAGAAACAAAGTAGAAAATATCTATATGATAGATCCAAGGTATAAAATATCTCCATGGTAGAAAATATCTATAGGATAGATCCATGGTAGAAAATATCTATGTGGTAGAAAATATCTATGTGGTAGAAAATATCTATATGATAGAACCAAAGTAGAAAATATCTATATGATAGATCCAAGGTATAAAATATCTCCATGGTATAAAATGTCTATATGATAGAACCAAAGTAGAAAATATCTATAGGACAGAAACAAAGAATAGAATAGCAACACACTTTTTATCTTTTTGGGGACCAATATTCTCTTTACTATAGATACATTTTATGTAGAGACCGACCGAATTTCGGCTTCGGCTTCGGTTTCGGCGCCGAAAGTGGCCATTTTATCACTTTCGGCCAAGTTTCGGTTTCGGCCGAAACTGAAAAGTTGACTTTCGGTTTAATTTCGGTTTCGGCCGAAAGAGGAAAGTTAACTTTCGGTTTTTCTTCGGTTTCAGCCGAAATTGACTTAGACTTTCGGCCATCGGCCGAAAGTGACTCAGGTTTTCGGTCATTTAATATTCAGCGAAAGCGATATTTAACAACAAACTAAACGACATTTAAGAACGAATTAAGCGATCTTTGAGAAAAAACTAAACGATATTTAACAACAAACATAGCGATCCTTAAGAACAATCTAAGCGATCTTTAGTAACAAACTAAACGATCTTAAAGAACAAACAAACGATTTTTATGACCGAACTAAATGATCTTTAAGAATAAAAACAAATGATCTTTAATAGTAAACTAAATTATTTATAAGAATAAACCAAGCGATCTTTAGCAGAAAACTAAATGTTCTTTAGGAACAAACTAAAAGATCTTTGAGAACAAACTAATCAATCTGAAGGAACAAAATCAATTATCTTTAAGAACAAACTAAGCGATCTTTATGAAAAAAACAAAGCGATCTTTAACAACAAACTAAGTGATCTTTAAGAACAAACTAAACGATCTTTAACAACAAATTAAGCGATCTTTAAGATTAAACTAAGCGATATTTTAGAACAATCTAGTGATCTTTATGAACAAACTC